CAATAAAATGTTTTCAAAAAAGGAACTGAATTCTTTATTTTCCCTTCATTTTCAAAGCTAAAGCTTTTATTAGCGTTTCCCTCAGAAGGGGGACATTTATTTATTCGATTAATTGTCAGAATAATTGATTGATAACTAAAATAATCGTATAGAAGAGTCCCATTAGAGAGAAAGAGTTTTTCATCTTAAGTGCAATATGTATGTATTTTTTGTACACTTTTAGTTTTAATCCCTGCTCTAACTCTGTTGTTCTTTCAGCAAACTACCTTTTTTGAGTCCAGTTAAAGATTATTTTATTACCAAGTTAGTTGACGGTTATTTCAATAATCGATTAATCATCTCCGTCCTACCCGAGATGTAAACTCGCAATACATTTCCTTCAGGAAAAGGGAACTTTTTCCAAGTCAGAGAGGAAGAATTGTGAAACAGGAAGTGACATCTTCGATTAGATCTGCAGCATCTCATCTCCTCTTCCTCAGAGATTCCCAAACTGGAGCTCCAGGCCCTGCAGCCTCATTAGGTCTGATCTCCTGTCATGATGGGCACCATCGTTCAACACATCGCTTCACTTTCTCTGCAGGTCTTTAAAACATTCATTGCACCAGCTGTTCTCATGTCAGTCAATGCTCTAGTTCACTGCCACAACACTTAAAAACATAATTAGATGTGTTGAGGTGAAGTCAGTCCAGCAGCCAAACAAACAAGACTCAGAAAAACAAAGTACTTTTTTACCTTTGTGCTTTGGGTTGCGTGCTGATCGGAACAGCAAAGGTGAAAGTTTGATGCAAAGCAACCAACTTGGATCCAAACAAACGACTCATTTTCAACCCAAAACTGCAGACTCATTCAACAGAACGTTTCTCTTATCACAAGAGGAAGCTGCGGTGTCGAGGTTCTGATTACGCAAGTAGACTCTGAATGCAAGAATGCGCGCGCTGGACTTTGTGTTGCCAAATTTCATAATTTGCATGTTAAGTCTTTGAGTTTGTGGATTATTTTTATGGTACAATGCCAAACAAATCAAAAACAAACACTCTTGAATCGGGAGCATTAAAAGGAGAGCCGTGTATTCAGACCTTGCAAAACAATTTGTTACATCAGTAACTGTGTGCATCATTATTGCACACAGAAATGTGGGCTAATCTTAACTGATACATTTATCAATATTTTTGCAAGAATTCATGCATGTTTCTCCATAATACACCTCCAGATGACTCTGATCTCCAAAAGAAGGGCCTATACCTCTTAATAAGTTAAAAAGGAACTTGTTCATATTTATTGATGCTCAAATAATAAATGTAGGTTTTTAATCTTTTTTTCCTGCAATATTTGCATTCTCAAAATTAATGACCCTGAAAGCATTAATTTGGGTAAAACACAGTAATGTGTTTTAAGATTCATTTTCTTTATTAGGTTGGAATCTCTGAGCTTTTTAAATAACATGAATTTCCATCGTCTTATGTTCATCTTTATTTTAAATCCTTAAAGGTGAAATTAACTGTCTTTAAAATTTAAACAAAATGTCCTAAAGCAGATACTAAAGTTGCAGTAAAAGATTCTATAGAGTCCTAATCATAGGAATGTTAAATGAAATGGTCAAAAATATTTTTTATTTTGATTAATTTTTTTGTAAAGTTGTATTCTAAATTATTTTTTTTATATTTTTTGAAGAAAAGGTCAGAAAACAAAGTTAACCTCATTCTGGAAACTTATACTACAGAGTTTTAAGCACAACCCTATTTAAACATAAACTGAATTTTAAATGTTTTGGAAATGTTTAAATAAATCTTTTATTTGTTTGCACTACTGTCACCAATGATCTAAACAGAATCTGTAGACCAATTGAATAGAAAAATTGGTTTCTGAATTAAGAATTGGTTCTGAATCGATTCTAAAAATCAGAATTAAATTGCCACACTGAAAGATTTACATCTCTAGTTGATATTTCTCTAAAAATTTGTTTTTTAAAAAAATGATGCAACATCTGCAGCTCTAAACATGTTGCATTTCTCTGTCCTGACAGCAAAATGGCTCCAAGTTATAAAGGTTCTTCCCGTTATTATCTTCTAAGGACACAAACTTTCCAGAAGCTTTGATTTAAAAGGAGCTGAATCAGACCCAGCTGTTAATTTCTCAACCAATTTGTGGTTATTCGATTTATTTTGTTTTAAATCCCAATAAGTCTTGGCATTTATTGGATTTAAAAGACAAAGAGGTACCGGGAAATAAAGGACAAAGCTCTCCAGCTGTTTCCAGCCCCTTAAAGCCTCCATGAACGCATGCTTACCTTTCCTTTATGTGTCATAAATTAACAGAGTGGGCTGCATCTAACTCGGGAGGTCTCCGTAGTGAGCACACTATGGCTACTCAATCATTAACAGCCAGTCAGCGTCCGGCTTCGCTTCACTGACACTGAACTGCATTAACACCCAAAACGGAGACTTATTCTTCAGGAGTAAAGGAAATAACCGCTGAACATTAAAATGCCGCTGGAGGTTAAAGACTCATCCAAACAGGTTCTGGTGAAGGACATGAGTGCAAACCTCAAGACCACTTAAAACCGTGGCACTGGTATTTGGAGGAATGCATGTGTGTGTTTATCCCTGAAGAGAGGAAAGGATGACGCTACTCTTGTCGTTATAAATAGCTGATGCACATACACACACACAGGGTATCTCAAAGTCTGCATGCCGCAGAACAGGGTAATCCTGATGCTTCTCGACCTGTTTAGCTGGTTCCTCAAAGAAAACAAACACACACAACTGATTTTCCATCGCAAACATTTTAACTCTCAATCTGAGGATTTTAAACTGAAACTTGTCAGCAGAGAAACATTAAATACTGTAATATTAAATTGGAATTAGATAGGAGTCTCATTAAGCTGTTGGGAAGCAGAACAAAGTCTAAAGAGATTATGTTAAATTTGATTAAACTCAGAGTTTCTCACATATTTCTCTACTCATAAAACCAGTTAAACCTTCATATTCTTACTGGAAGAGATCTCACACATCTGTATATATTCCAGTTATATTCTCATTCAGGTTGGCAAACATTGCTTTGGTCTTTTCTAAAGCTTTTTAAAGCAAACTCATTTAAAAAACAAGACTATCTGTACATTTCCACTATTTTGTTATGACATGCTCCAAAAATAAAAAGCCCAGAGAAACATAATCAAATGTGGAAAGTTATTTGCAACTCAAAGCTTAATACCACCTCAGTTAAATCGGCCTTACTTAATCAATTAGGATCTTAAGCAGCATTTGTGAGCAGCAGTTTCCATGCTCAGAGGGCGGATCGGGTCTGAATGGATTAATTTCAATCCCCAGCGTCATGATTGTTAAAGTAGAGTGGAATTAGAAAACAGGACAACAATCGTATCCTTCAGCAAGTTCTGAGAGACTCTGGGTGTCTCAGGAGGCCGGTTAGTGCTGAATGGGTCGCTTCCCCTTCTCTTTTTTGCTTTTTCACATTTTTAAATTCACACAACATGACTGCAGTTTAATACAAGTTCACCTGGTTAAACTGAGGAATCTCTCTTTGAAAGGAAACCTAGTGATAACCGTGACATTTATGTGAAATTCAGCAACCTGTGCAATAGTGTTTAACCATGAATAGTTGATGTAAAATTAAACATGTCACAATAAGTAATAAATCAAGTAAAATTATCTCGATAATTTCCATTCTGATATTTCTGAAGGACAATTTTCTTTACAGTGACTTCATAATAACAAAAAAGTGACAATAAAAACTATTACTTCTCTTTTTTGCTAACTGCTGCTGAAATCTATACCATTTATAATACAATCACATAAAGAAGTGTGATTTGTGCCACTAAACTAAACAGCATTTTCTAATCATATTCATTTAAACTTTCATTGAACATTACATAAATAGCAAAACTATCAAAACAATACAGACAGTTTTGGGTTTTTTAATCATCAATAATTGGAGTTTACTGTGACAACATTAAATCAGAATTTTTATCATATCAAGAAATTTATCACGATAAATGATAAACGATACGATATGATCGGTGGATAAGTTTGGCTTCACGTGTAAAAACGGGCAGATCACCAATCTCCCAAAATGAAGAAAATCTGCATCGATAAATTGGCTGGCCGATAATTCGGTGCACCCCTAATTTTATCTAACTTCACTTAAAAAAAATTACACTACAAACTCACACCGTTTTAGAAAAACACTAGTCACGTAAAGAAATGTGGTTTTTTGTCACTAAACTGCACACAGCAACAAAATTAACCATATGCTAAATTTATTAAAATTTTTGATACTTTCAACCAGTGAAGAAAATAATAACCCCAACAATGTGGACAGTTTTGGGAGGTTCAAAAATCAATAATTGGAATTTATTGCAACAACAAAGAAGCTAAATTCGGATGAACTACAATACAATCAATGCCAACACATCCTTCAGACTTAATTTATTTTATGGTGTTGGTTGCATATAGTTTTTATTTCTGTTTTATTTATCATTTTTGTTTCTTTGTTTATTTATTTTGGATATTTAAAATATCTTCCAGTTCCAGTGCTAAGTTTTCTTTACAAAAGTTTATTGAGGGCAAAGTTGGGTTATGTCATCACTATTATACTACTTGAAAAAAACACTATTCTCATTTATCGCAGTAATTTCTGGGACAATTTATTGCAGCGCTTGGCAATGATAGAGTTTTACCACAATATTTTTGGTACCATATAATCATGTGCTAAATTTACTGACATTTGTTGATGCTTTCAGTGAACAGTGAAAATAATAATCCAAAAAATACTGACAGTACTGGTGTAAACATTATCAATTGTCAAATAACTTCTGGGACAATTAGTCGTCCTGCAAAACTTGTTATGAGCAATTATTTTCTCCATTGCTCCATATTAAAATCAGGATCTAGTGATGAAGAATTCGTGCCACCAAATCAATTATAGATTCATGAGAAAGCAATGCTTTTTGTCAGTCATGGATTGAACACACGGCTGTCTCTTACCTTCCCGGTCTTGTGGTCGAACCACACAAGAGCATGATTCCTGGACAGCACCTTGCAGTCGAAGGTGCCGTTGTTCTGGGCCGGTCGGCAGCGAGCCACAGACCTTCCGATCTTGACTGGCTCGTCCAGGTACACATGCCGCTCCTGGAATGGGTGCGAGTTGGGTCGGCAGGTGAACACGGCCAGTGCTGAAGGCATTGATTTTGGCTTGAGTGTGTTACTCCAACCAGACACAATGGAGAGGTTTTCCTGATCCAGATTGGCAGGGTTTTGGTGCATCCCCTCTAAAAAAAAGAATAATCTACAATATCTGCGGCCTGTATACAGGCAGATCTCCAAGTTCTGTAATCTTCTAGGCACTAACTGATAAGCATTGTCCCCTGTACGCTCTCGGGACTGCACTTTGACTCAACTCGACTGCCCTGCGTTTGAGAAAAAGTTAAATTAAAAACAAACCAAACATGTATAAAAAGACAAGACATTCCTTTTTCAATGACTCCCCTCTAAAGCTACATAACGACGCTTAAATCTGACAGCAAACACTATGTACAGACCAAGGTGCCATGTGTCAAGACATACATGACTGATTATAGCACTGACAGCCTGGCAAACAGCCCCTCACGTCCATCAAACTATTCAAGCAGTGAAGCTGGGCAGTAAAACCACTCAAAGTTTATCTTTCGTCGCGGAAAACAACAGAAGCTCCTCCAAATAAATAAACCCACCTGTTTATTCCCTACATTTGCTGAACTATTGCGCCTTTTTTACGAGCTGTGATGCTTTTACCTGCCCGCAGCAAGCTAACAACAAGCCGGTCCAGACGCACTTTAATCGAGTGTCATCTGCTGTTCGTCAAAACGGCACATGATAATCGGGGTGACCTTGTTACCCTGATACAGGGAGCCTTATTTTGGCATCTCACGTCGGGTCACCACTCCCTCCAGAGTGCACCTACGAGACCGCTAACGACACCTAGCAGAGCCGGAGAGCCAGAAACACCCCCTTGGGTCGGTAAAGGCCAGTCCGATGGGGGTTTGTGCCTCAAAACACTCAACCGCCAAAATTCAGGGGATTAGTAAATCGTCATTTACAGCAAAAATGCTTATCTCAAACTCTCGACCAACGTCTCTGGCGTTCAACCAGCTAGGCTATGCTAGGCTAGGCTAATGAGCACTTCCAAAGTTATCATTCAAGTCCTCCAATGTTTTCTCCCCACCCTTCTCAACCAGTTCGCTTACCGAGTGGAAGCGATATGCCATACCTGTCTCCAGTAGCAAATAAAACCAGCAAGCCGAGGCGTCATTGGCTACCAACAGTCCCGCACCGCGAACGCAAGCGCAAAGGTGAGCTAGCTAGCAGCTAGCCGGCTAACTGACAGTCAGAGCGGAGAGAGACGCGGAAAAATCTGGGGAGTTTCTTCTTCACTGCGGCTCCCCGCGCATCACACTGCTGCTGTGCTTCGGGGGAACCTCACTGGAAGACGCTGGTTGCGCTGTCGTTCTCTGTATTCGTCCTAATCCAGTTTGCCGTGGTGGTGTTTTATTACAGCTGTTGGCTTCCGGTGGTTTTCTGGAGAGAATCTAGAAGAAGTTGTCCTCCTCCGCAAGTCCCAGCCGCCATACTGGAAGTAGAAAGCAGACAGGCGTGGTGCGTTCACTGACCTATAGGATTAACCCAACTCTCTAGTTACCTCATTAACCAGTGAGGTAACTCTGGTTGATGAGTTAATGAGGATTAATAGATCAATATTTATTTCCATGTTTGTTTGTTTTTTAACTGGTTAAATTTACTCAATCTGTTTTTTTTGTTTGTTTGTTTGTTTTGAGTAGAGGTAGATAAAAAAGTTACATTTACTTGGATAAAAATAGAAATACACTTTTAGGAGTAGTTTATAATTTACTGTTAAAAGTAAATTAGCTTTTAACAATAAAATTAATATCAAGCAATGTCATTATGAAGTATCGCTACTCTTACTACAGAATAATTTCTGGTCTACCCAAAGCAAATAACTTCACAAAATGAAGAACAAACCAAAATTGTTTGAGGCAAAGACCTACAGATTATGTTAAAGTGCAACCTCGTTGTTGTGTTTTCCTTTTAGTTTATAAAATAACATAATTTGTACAAAACGTTATATTTTTCTTTCAGATTATATGATTTTACCAAATCAGATGTAATGATTGTTTACTCTGTACTTGAGTCGCTTTACAAAATGCTGTTTCATTCTTATATTTTTGACGGCAACTTTTGACCTTTTTAAGTGAAGCTACTCTTAGTTGAGTAAAATTTTTGGGTTCCTCTGCTCACATTTGGTTTTGAGTTATATTTTACAACACCACAATTTTCACTTAATAATTGAAATTAAGTGTTTTTTGTTCTTCTTGTAATACTTCTTTGATAATCACACTATTTTTATATGTGTAAAAAAAATAGTGTTTTTGTGTTGCTGTTTATGCTGAAAGGCTTTATAAAATATCTATTCAAACATTTTCATAATGAGACTGGATTACAGTTCCTATTACAATTCTTCACATTTGTGGCTATTTATTAGGAACTGGGAGAACAGGAGGAAACAGGACGGTGTGGAGTGACGTGTGGAGATCAGATTCTGCTTATGGCTCCAAAATCTCTTTATCCGCTCTTTGGTGAGCCGAACCCTGAGACTTAATCAATACTGGATGACACAATGAGACAGCCACACCACACATAAATCCCCCATAGTTTTACTTATTTCAGCCTTTGTTTATTGAAACATGGGACACAATCATTTTTAATTAAATTAGATTAATTTGCACCACTGAAAATACACTTTGGAGTTTTTCTATTGGCATAAAGGCTCAAAAATCAAGTATTATTACATTATATTATATTATATTATATTATATTATATTATATTATATTATATTATGACAACTGGTTGCTTCTTATCATCATTGATCCATTTAAAAATGAATATACATTTTTAAATAACACTTTTATTTTATTGAATAGAAAGTTACATTTTATGTGCATTTTTCTGTTTGTCATGGTGCTGCTGCCCAATCATTTCTCAACTCTGGGAGCTGTAAACTACATCTGATCCAGTTTTTTGTTGCTCATTATGCATTATTTGTCTCCCACAATTCCACATTTTCCCCTACTACTATTAGTGCGTCCTGATTTTCGTTTGTCTTGAAACGGACCTGGTTCTGGTCCTTGCAGCTCTTTCCAGCCCTCCTGCAGAGCAACCAGAGGGACCAGCTGTCACTGTGCCAACAGTCTGGCTATTATCTGAGATTTGCCAACATCTCACTGTGTTTTATCTTCTTATCGGTCATCTGTGTAACTTACAAAAACCACAGTGTATATTTTACATTAATAAATATATATTTAAGGATAAATTGAAGAAAAAAATAGAAAAAGACTTCTATATGCTCAAGAGATTTGGGTTTCCCCTTTGAAATCAACATGAGGAAAGAGTAAAAGAAATTAGAAAAATATAGGCAGATACAGTATACGTAAACTGAAAAATTATGCACGTTAAAGTTTTTTAATATTTTATTATTCATGTTTTTTTCTGAGAATGTAGGTTAAGACATAATATGGGTTAAAAAGTAAGATGTGTGTGACAAAAAGTAATTTATAGTTTTTGCTGAACACAACATTTCTGATCTCTACGTTGTTTTAAAAATAACATTAGTGCCTATTTTATGGTTCTTACTGTGCCAAGAAAAATAAATATGTAATCATTTAAATGTGCAACTAAATTCTCCACTAATGAAGACGATGTGAAAGGATTTAAAAACAAGATCTGGTCCACATCGATCTTAAGGATTTCTAAAAATGTGTTTGTTTTTTTTAGATTTGTGCTTAAAATATAATGTGTTAACTTTACAAAATTATTTTAATCCTCTCCAGGCAGGTGTTGCAGATTTGCAACAACTTAACCTGTCTTTTCAAGTAATTTGAGCCTGAGCGGGTTAAATGTGCTTTGAATTATGGCACAATAAATGTTTATGAAATATTTTTTAACATAATTTTCAAATACAAATGTTTTTTTAGACGTATTAGGTCATATGTATAATGATACATGTTGATGATCCTTTTATACTGATTCTGTGTTGGTGACAGAAATAAATCACGTAGACTGTTGTTATTTGCTCAGTATAAATTTGATTCATTCAATGGGAATCAGCATCTCCCTTCAGGTTGTTTCATCCATCTGTTGCTCAGTGGAGGATGTATTAAAGGATTTGGATAAAGCTGATTTACTCCTCTGGTCCTGACTCAGACTGACACTCAGACCGAACAAGTGATTCATTCAATTATGGGGCTTACTTTACGTCCTTGATCTGGAACAGAGCAATGTACATACTACCGAACAAAGTAAAGGTTTTTGTCAAGGATTCAAACTATCATCACAAATTTCTGACTTTTTACACAAAATTTTGAGATGAAATTCAGAATTCTGTTTTCAGGTGCCATACATTCCTCCATACATTCATGAATTAATGAAATTAGCTTTTTTTTGTAAGGTTGCATTATTATATCATCTGAAGTAGTGAGGCAGCAAAATAAATTGCAGCTATTTACAATATCAGCTGGAGTCCATCAATCAATCAATATATTTTCCTCTTGTTCTAATACCAACAAAACAAGACAGCATTTCTCTGGTCTCAAATACATGTTAATCAATGTATGATATAGTGACACCAGATGAAAAGCATAGACCGTTTCCAATCAAATCTTAAATGTCTATATTCAGTCATATTCAATAATTTAGAATATAAGACGAGATGTTCGTTTGATATAATAAAAGAAGCTTTTGAAAATAACTATTTAATCTGATAATAAAAATAATTTTCATAAAACACTTTTTAATTAACTGTTTTGTAATGGTCTGGTGTAATGTTTCCATTGTAAACGGAAAATCATTATTAACAGCAATAAAGGCTTTCAAACATCCATCTGTGTGCATTTAATCTATATGACGTGTTTCACTTAGTGAAAAAGTTTCTGAAATAGATGCACTACTCAACTATATTGATATTATCTGTATTTTTAAAATCAAAACAAGACTTGGAATAAATACATAACCGTGCTGATTATGCGTCATGACGTCATGAGATACAACGAAAGGACGTTGTGACGTATTGGCCCAGCTGCGTATGCTACATGCTAGCTAAGGCGCTTGTTTCTGTTTTGTTCTGTTTTGCGGCTTTCTGCTGTCCTCCAACAAGACTCTGGGTTGAAAAACTTAATTTATCAGATTGTTAACAGTCCTTGGAGCACCTGGACGTCTGTGTCGAGTCGTGGTCATGGCTCTGCAGGGGCCGGAGGAGGTCGGGGAGCAGCTTGAAGAGCCGGAGGACCTGGACGACCAGGACGCTAGCAGCATCTCCCCGGCCGAAGAGATAACCCTTCCGCCGGGGACGGGGGGCGACGAGGAGCCGGAGGAGGCTTTCCTCCTGCCGTGGGACCGCTTTTCCTCCTGGCTGCACTGCATCTGTGTGGTCGGCTTCGACCTGGAGCTGGGCCAGGCGGTGGAGGTAAAAACAACTCGGCTGTTGTAGTTAGCAGCTGCTGGAGGCTCAGGCTACGTCCTGGAAAGGAATACCCAAACAAATTTCTTATTCATTCAGATTTAGCTACAAGGTTTTCCCAGCAACGAGTTTCTCCAAAAATATACTAAACTAACAGAACATTGTTAGTAAAAATACTTGAAATGGTTTTTGTTTAAGTTTCTGTTGAAATGTCAGCTTTCATGAAATTAAACTGGTCCAAAACATGAGTCCAGATAAAAATTGTTCTGTTAATTCAAACTGACCAGAAACAAGAGAAGTTTGGTCTGAATTGAATTCAGACAGTGAGGAGAAAAGGTAGAGGTGTTGTTTTTTACTTTGTTGTTGTTTCTCCACTCCAGACTAGATTCAAAGTTTATTAAATTGCATATATTTCACAAGTAATACATCCTGAGACAAGATTCTGCTTTAAATTATGTTTAGTTAAAAGGTGAAAACTGATGAACTCCTGTTTTATTGTTTATTTTCCTTCCAGGTAATTTATCCTCATCATTCCAAACTGTCAGAGAAAGAGGTGAGTCAAACTTCATTGGACGTGGCTGTATCCAAATCACACGGCTTATCAATAGCACAGACGGAGACATTTTTCATATTGTTGATCTTTATTGTGGTCAAAAATAAAAAAACAGAAACAGTCAATATTATGGAGATTTTTCATTAGAGCAGCATCAATAAATATCAATAAACTGAAAATGTGATTAAATACAGTTGCTGTGTGTTTAGTAACAAAAACACAACATATTTGTATAGCTGAAGTTCTGTTAAATCGGTATGTTTTTTTTTGGAAAAGTATTTGTGGTTACGGAATAAATGACAACAGAGAAGATGTAAATATTTTTTTCGAAAATATTTACATCCAGAAAGCATATTCATGTGTTAGAATGACCTAGTCAAAGGCATAAATCCAACTCAGAATCTGACACTTAAACATTTCGAAACAAACTCAAAGCAAAGAAGAAAGGCCATTTCTGTACAAAGCTGTTGGAGACACAGGAGTGGGACGAGAAAGATGCAGAGGAAAGAAGAAGAATTTCATGTTTGGTGTTGATGCTGTTGTCAGCAGGGAGTTAATGAGATTAACATGTTTTCTTTCAGAAAACAAGCATCTGCTACCTTTCCTTCCCAGACTCCAACTCAGGTGAGTTCCTGTTTCAGCAGCTTCCTTCTTTTCTCTGCACCAGAACAATCAAAGCTTTATAGAAGATGAAATGTCACCATGAAACTAATTCATCCTAAGGGCCTTTATTTAACAGAAGTTAGATTCTAACTAGAAATATGTATGTCCACCATTATTAAAATGTAATTTATGAACATGAACAGCCAGCCTGACATTATCTGACCCATAAGGTTCCAGGGGAGAAAATTGACTGAAATCATACTTTATTCACACCACTTTGAGCACGACCCTCCATCTACAAGCACATCCAAAAATTGTGAATATTGTTCAACATGTGAGGATAGGTCTATGGGGAATACTAAATATGTTCATTACATTTTTTGCACAAAGTCTTTCTGACATAATGTGATGTATTTTTTTGTTAGTAATTTAAATGTAACTAAAGAAAAGCAAATTAAATAGATAAAATAGATGCACTATTATACAACTGTACATCTTTGAAAAGCAGAAGTAGAGCATCCTGCACAATGAACAAGAATGCAGCAGGTGGTTTCTGAATGGTAAGTTGACAGCAATCACTTGTCATTTCCAGCAGCCATTATCACTTGGTAAAGCCAGCTGGTCAGTGCCTGCTGATTTGTGATGTTACATCCTGGAGGTTTTGAAAATGACAAATTTTCCTTAAAGAGGGAAATATTTCAAGTAGTAGATTTAATGATTGGTGTTCAAATAAAGTTTGAACACCAATTTTTAACAAACTCGTTTTTCGATAAAACATTTCTCTGGTAGGATGAGTTCCCCCCCTTTGTAAAACGGTTTCATAATTGGTTTATTTCACAAAACTGCAGTGGGAACACTTTCACATGAGTCACATGATCAACAATCGGATGTTACTGCTGGTGGAAAATACGACAAAGAAGAAGACAGGAAGTAGTTGGAGGATGTATTTCACATGAAGTAATTAAAAACTTGTTCATGTGTGATTTTTTTAAATTGAGTTAAAATGCATATGAATTTTTTTATTTTATTTATTAGTTTTGTGCACATTTTTAATGGAAGTGCAGAACTCAGTAGCTAGTAAACAGTCTTCCTGTGTGTAACTGACTGTCAGCTTATGCAGCAGTTCTGTGGAGGCCTCAGTGGTTTGCTGGAGAACAAACAGAGTGTTACCAAATGTCAGTGTTTATCAGTCAGCCCCACAGAGTCAGTGACCTTTTAAAAATGCTTCACCTAGTTCAGAGTAAACGGAGACCCAAGTGGATCAGTTCCTGAAATCGCTCACAGACAAAGTAAAGCTGCAGCGGTGTGAATGCAGAGTGAGAGTTTGCCCTCAGGTGTGTTTCTGTTCTCTGTGAGTCAGCAGGTGTTGAAGACGAGGAGCTCTCAGCCTTCAGTTCAGTGACGGGATGAGGACAAAATGCTTTCAGACATGGCAGGCGTGCTCTAGAAGCACAGAGACTTTAAACTCAGGACCTGCATCTTGGTTTTTCCATGTTTCACATAATTCACATTCAAATCTTGTCATCTGTTGGCGTTTAGTTGGCTTTCTGAAAAGGGAAACGGATTCTGAAACGTGGTTGGAGTGTTTATTTTGCTTCTCAGCTCATTGGACTGAAAATAAAACTGATGAGTTTTAATCTGAGGATGTTTAAATCGGGAAAAGGAAGGTTTGATCTGAGACGCATGAAAAACAAAGATGTTTTAATTGATTGTCTGACACAATACAGATCTTTTCTGACGAGCTGTGGTTCTCGGATTGAATTTTGATGGACGAAGGCTAACGACTTCTGGTAAACTTGTTGTTTTGTCTCCTCAACCAACCAACACTGTCTAATCAGCTAACCAGGCTGATCTTTCACTTCCAGCATGAACAATGCCACCTTTTTTTATTGCTTTTACAAATCAATCCTGATCACCAAAATGTCACTTTTTTGACAAATTCTTTAATGTCAAAGTAAAAGACGATTTCTACAAAATAATCATTAAATCCAAATTATTAACATAAAATAAGTGCATAATTGTTCACCTCCGTTTAAAGTAACTGACCTAATTCAACAGGTTCAGCCAATTGATGTTTCACAATGATTATAATGGAGATCATGGGATTGTCTCTACAGTGATTTGATCCAACCAATCAGAGAAACGCTTATTGAAAAGTTTTTTGCTTTGTTTATTGGTTAAATATTGCTTAGTTTTGGTTTAGTTTTTATTTGTTATAGTACTAGTTTTATAGTATTTCATACTTAGATTAATTTTTAGGTGCAGAATTTTGAAAAGTCAAAGTATTATGATTATTTGTACATCGACTGGGTAATGAATACTTTTTTTAAAAATTGTTGTTGAACAGCCGTCTGACTGTTTTCTCTCTGCTTTTGCTGCCGCCATTTTGCAGCTCAGATACGCGCCATCAGGAGGAATATGGAGTGACGTAAATTGCCAAAAGTTGACTTAATCAGTTGGAGAAATCAATTTCTTCAAAGATTTATTTCTTTAAATTAAACTTTTATTAGAATTACAGAAATTTAATTTAAATCTTTAAATGTTTAATAGCGAGAAAAGACAGCGGAGCACAAGAATTCAAACTGAAGAGCCGTTTGAATTCCTTCAGGATGAATGTTCTTGAACGCAGCATGACATCATGGAGTCTTCTAAGAACTGACTATTTGTCCGTTGGGGCATCAATATCTTAAAACTTTGATTCAGACTTTAATTTTACCTTCTGACTCCCGCTCCGTCCGCCAGGAGGTGCCTGGGAGGGTGCGAAGATCAGGTTGAGGTTAAATGCCGTTTAATGACTGTGCACTTCCTGATTTCCCTTTTCCTCTTCCTGTTTGTGTCAAGAACCTGGAGCACCAGGAAGACGCTCAAGAAATCACAAATGCATCTAAACAAATTCATATTTCTGGCTTGAATAACTTCAGGTTTGATATGCAAAGGTGACTGAAGGCAAAAAAGGAAAAGTTTTCTCTTGTTTTTATAAAACAAAAGAGTGGCTTTGTAAAATTATCACTCAAATATCTTCACAATTGGAACAATAGGAATTTGCATTTTGGAGCTGTTAGTGTTTCAAAATCTTCTTTGAGGAGATGTCAAATTAAATTAATCATGCATATACTGCAAATGAAGACATTCTAGGCTCCAGAACAAGATTATTTATAAATTAATGTGACTGAAGTAAAAGTAGGAAAGTGATTCTGTGAGATTTAATGATTTCAGTTAATGTCCCATCAAGTTTTACGTATCAAAAAGCCATAAAAATCATAATTTATACAGATAATTTATATTAAAGGTGAAGCTGGTTTTGCACAAACAGATCCATTTTAAAGCAGCAGTGGTTTGTAAAATAGAGGTTTGTTTTAGCTTCACATCATGTTGTACTGTTATTCCCTCATCAAAAACACACCTGGAGTGTTGCTTTGATTCGTCATGAATATTTGAGAGATGTCTTAATCTCCATGGCAACCGTTCAGCTGTGCTAGATACCTGCATGGCTCTAGCCCCGCCTTCAACGCGTAGCTCCTCCTTAGAGGTGCAGTTTCCAAGCTTCAGATCTCACAGAGCAGCCCTCAGGCAACTCCCCCACTTGGCTCCTTCAGACTAGCCAGCAGCAATTAGCAAACCCCTGGTGGAACTGCTTATCTGTTGAGCTCATTATAGGAACGACTCTCAGAGAGATAGAGGTAAGAACATCGTTAAAGGGTTAATGGAGGAGCCAGATTGGGTTGACATCCTGAAGGCGAAGTTTCAGAAAGAGCAGGAGTTTTTAAAGAGACAGCCCCAATTTCAAAGGCATTAAATTAGGAAATAGATTTTTTAAAAGTCAAATTTGATATATGTAGCATTTTTATAACAACTGAAGGTAACATGGTTACTTTCTTATGCTATAAAGTGGCACTGTTTGCCTAGAAAACACATCCTGGTCCTTTAAGTTTTTCTGTTATGTTGATTCTGGCTTACAGCTGTTGAAAATCCAAAGAATCAATTTCTCAGAAAAATAAACTACTACATAAAACCTAAACAGAATCTTTATTACTGAATGTGGGCCTGTAGCTAGCAAAAAGGAACCAAACCGACATTTGACATTTCATCTGTGTGGAGCAATTACAGCTTCAGTAAAAATTTAAACTGTCCTTGGTGTGAAAATCTCTGCTAGATAGACTGACCAGAGAGGAAGTGAGTAGAGAACCAGTGAGGTTTGGTCATGACCTGAACTGTGACTGTAAGACAGCGGTGAGGTGTGCTGTGGGAACACAGGAAACCTTCTTTACATCACCGTATTTCTAAATTTGATCTTCTGAACTTCAAGGACAAACATGTCTGATGCCCGTATTGTGATTAATGGCTTTCAGGAGAAATGTCAGTGGACAAAACTCTTGCATCCGACTGGTATCCCTTTCTCTTGCTTTTTTTAACCTAATGCAATATTTGAAACGGCGATTCCTGTTGTGTTTCTAGGTTGCCTTGGCGACACGCAGTTCTGCTTCCGCTTTCGGCAGGGATCCAACAGGAAGTCGTCCCTTGGGTGTTTCCTGGAAAACACGGATCGAGACGCGCCGCCCTGCCTGAAGGTTTGGAGCCTTAAGGAATACATTTGGCCACATTAGTATTAATAGCAGCTAATCCCTTCCATTCCACCTGGACGGGGCAGGGAGGCGGCTGCAGTGGGAGGCGGCTGCAGTGGGAGTAGGCTGCAGTGGGAGGCGGCTGCAGTGGGAGGCGGCTGCAGTGGGAGGCGGCTGCAGTGAGGGGCTAATGTCAGAGGTTCAGGGGATTTCGGGTTGTCCAACACCTGAGCTAAAGAAATGAGCTGCTTTCTATTTCCTATAGTACTGCAAAGCGGTGGTCGGGGAGCCGAGGCGGTCCACCGTGGTTTTGTGTTAAAAGATGTTACACTGACAGGAAGTGTAAAAATATTACTGGGTAATTATATTTTAGGGAAAACATTGCTATAGAAACACTGTTTAAACCCACAACTAGTCCTGCAAACAACAAATCAAAAAATACAATTAAAATGAACATAAATTATTTGCATTTCTGTTTAATCCAGCGGCTCCATAAGGCCCATAAATGCTAATGTTTTAACACAGATATATAAATGTAACATTTGTTTAAGATTATCAATGCTGCTAAATTTGATTGAATACATAAATTAAATTTTTTTTAATAGTTTAACATTTAAATTTAGATTTTAAGGAGCTGGCAAGTTTACTTTGTAAAAGTTTAAATAACAATATTCATAGTTAGATCATTTTGTTACCACAGCAACAATCTGATGCTCTGAGTTTAATCTTTGAGTTTGAGCTCCGTTTGTTCACATTGTCGCTGGACATTAATAAGGACACAGGGAGACAGTTAAATTTTCTCATGCAATCTTCCAATTAAACGGAGAACTCTGCCCAGAGACACGTCGTTGTCTCTTTCTCCGGACCAGTTCCAACGTGCTTCTCTGCAACTGCATATTTTATTATATTGAGGCGTAGCTTAGTTACAAATCATTTGCATAGAAGGAGTGGCAAACAGAATATACAGCATTTCAGTCAGTTACAAGTCTCTACTCAAACAATGGTGCCATCTTGTATTTATGCAGCTGTTGTCCTCAAGAGTAGCTTCTCAAGGTTCTGTCTTTGCATCTCCTGAGGTTATAAAAACGCAGTTGTTTGTTGTTTCTCTGCACTGTAAAACTTCAGCTCTCGTCCTTCTGGGTCATAAAACACTCGGGACTCTTAGTGTCTGATGTTTTGCTCCTGCTAGGTGTCACTGCTTCTCCCTGGCTGGCATCTGTTGTCCATTTGTCCTCCTGTCAGGGCAGATGTGACTGCAGGCATCCTGCTCCTCCAGAGACAAAGAAACACGCATCCCGAAACAAAGATCTCTCAGCCCTTAAAGTCTCCTAATCTTTAATATTTATGTTTGTATTTATCTAAAAACCTAACAAATTTTTATTGTTACTATCATTCAGAAAACAAAAACAAGCAGCGCCTTGCCTGCGGGCCACCAAGCTTACAATACACTGGGGGAAACCCTGCAATGCAATGCAAATTTTATGTAGACTGTTGCTCTTTTTTTAATTCATACTTTTTGGGCTTCTAGGGACCTTAATTTAGGGGATTTAGCTATAATTCATCAGCCATCTCTCTCCTGTCTCTCTTTCTCTTTAGCCATCTCTTTCTGTAGCTGTCTTCTTCTCTCTTCTTCTCTCTGTAACAACCTCCCCAGATATTTTCCTATATCTATCTCTCTCTGTCCATCTCTCTCCAGCTATCTTCTGTTTCTGTTTATTTTGTTGTCATGCAGTTGTGTATACCTTTGTCTCTGTGTTGCAGCGGGAACAAGGCCATTACTACGGCTATGTGTATTTTCGTCAGGTTCGAGACAAATCCCTGAAGAGAGGATACTTCCAGAAGGTCAGTGGTGATCTGCAGCTCTGCTCTGACTCAAAACCTCAGCAGTAACTCTGAATTCATTCGTCTCAGACAACTTGTGTCAATAAATTCCCTGTAATCACATGTTTTTAATAATCATCAAGCAACATGTCACTTCAGTTGCACTGAACAGGTGCAGTTATTTTAATTTTCCAGTTGTGTAATTCAGCTCAAATGAGATGCTGTAGATTTAGCAGTTGGGGAATTCCCACATTTAAATTCTTTGGATAATTTCAGGTGAGCAGGAAGTGCTTTTTTGTTTTGTGTTGTTGCAGTGACTTAGAGATGAGCCTGAAATGGAAGTACAGAATGAAATCATGCATTAAAGTTGGTTCAGCCACATTAATAATGAAACCTGCATCCTAGTTTTTCCATGTGTATTTGGTTATTTTGTAATGATTTAACAACTAGGAAGGCTGTCTTGGTTCGTTGTTTCCTCTCTTTCTGATTACATGAAACAAATTATTGGAAACATAAATTATTTTGTGGCATATTTTAGCTCAGAACTGAGTTAGTCATCATTTCCCAGAACAGCGTGATGTTCCTTATCGTTTATCAGTGGTTGTAAAACCAACCTTGCAGAATAACTCCTGACGTTTGTCTGTCGTTGTTGAATGATTTGTGTTTATTTCAGTCTCTGGTTCTGATCAGTAAGCTGCCGTATGTGACCTTCTTCCACTCGCTGCTGAAGATCATGGCTCCGGAGTACTTTGAGAAGCAGGAGCCGTGCCTGGAGGCCGGTCAGTCTCAACGTGTCTCTATCTTCATCTCTGTCAACTCTTGGTATTAAACAGTCAAAGTATGAAAAAGTTGAGACCAAAGCACCAGACTGAAGACTTTTATCATCCAGTTTTTGGTAGGAGAGAGAAAACAGAAAAACGATGAATCATGCAAATGAACATTTTTGAGTTTGATTTAATTTATCATATGATTAATTGATTTATTGCTTATTGTGACAGGACTATGCATTTATTTGTTTGAGGTCTCTCAGCTTTCCACGTTTAAAGACTTAAATTGTTGCCATTCTTCCCAGAAAAGTATCTCGAGCTCGATGATGATCATATTAGGATTTTACCATTTTCAGGACAAAATATCTTTTTTTTCTGAAAATGGGACATTTACCCAGTCACTGGAAAAACATTAAATCTTTTTTTTCATTTCAGCAAAACTGTTTTATTAAAATAGCTGCTTCTGGCCGACCTCCGCTATTTTGACATTTGCAAAATTAGTTGTACTTTGTTACAGTTATTGTAAATTTGCAATCAGGATGTATTTTCTGACTCATAAACTAAAGCAGAAATGTTTGCAACACACTGACTGCTGAAAACACTTAGATTTTACCGTCTGCTTCTGCGAACTGTGGCAGAACAGAGAAGATTCGGATCCCTTCGTTTTGTCAAATCTTTTATTTTTTCTGTATTTGTTAGCTTGTAACGATATCGACCGCTGGCCGACGCCGCATCCCGGACGAGTCCTGACTCTGCCGATCATGGGCGTCGTCATCAAGGTAGCTCCACACAAGCCTGATGGGAAGAAGGAAGCTTTTGTTTTGATTTAGACCGAACCAGGATTGTAAAAGGTGTAGCCTGGACAGCATAACATAAAATAGACCTTTTTGAGGTTTTCATCATGTTATAATGTTATTCCCCCATCAAAAACATACCTTAAGGTTTGCCTCGATTCTTTCATGGATGTTTGAGAAATATTTTAATCTTCATGGCAACCTTGGGTCCTTAAGACTAGCCAGCAGCAATTAGCAAACATCTCTTGAGCTCATTATAGGAGCTAAGTTTTCAGTGCAATGCTGGTTAACAGAGGAGCCATGTTGTAATGACTTCCTGGAAGCACAGTTTCAGAAAGAGGAGGAGCTTTTAAAGAGACAGCGCCCAATTTTAAGGTGTTAAATATTAAAGTAAAAATTCTTTTAAGTAATATTTGATATGTACAACATCAACAGAAGAAAATACAGTTCCTTGATTGTGCTATAAATTGGCTCCATGTCCCTGTTAAACACAGGAATCCTTTAACAGTAGTACATTTATTTAACTTAGCCAATAAAAATGTTTGAAATTACTTTTATTTGTGGATTTGTTGTAATTTGGTTCCATCCATCAGTGTTTTATTTTTTGCAGAAAATGGGTCGGACCTCAGTTTTTATATTTACTTTTCTACGTGCTGCAGGTTCGAATCCCAACCTGTTACGATAAACCAGGAACCTCCCAGTTGGTCCAGTCAGCCCAGGTAAAGGTCCCAGAGTGGATTCACGTCTCAGCGTCAGATTTTACTCATTTTGTTTCACACATTGAGCTGAAAAGGGATTTCTGCTTTCAGGGTGACAGTTTGGTTTCAATCATTCTCCCGACAATCCATGAAGTCGACTTGTTCAGGTGAGACTGGTTCTGTTCAGGTGAGACTGGTTCTGTCCAGGTGAGACTGGTTCTGTCCAGGTGAGACTGGTTCTGTTCAGGTGAGACTGGTTCTGCCTCTGTGTGTCTCCATCTGCTGCTCAATGGGTGGAACTGCAGCGTCTATAAACCTTTCACCTGAAAAAACCTCAAACTGTGTTAGAAAGTTTCTTTTTAATTTAAATGTTTTCTGAAACTTTAACTTTTGCATGGAAAGTGTTCTTTTGATTACGCAACAAGAAAAGGTCAGATGATTTTCTGGTTTCTTTATGCAAATAAATCTGCATTCAGCTCAGAAACAATATTCACAGTTATTTAGCTAATTTGTCCCTCAGTGAAAGCAAAATAAAAAAGCTAAATTTGTACAATATATCTGATTCCTGGTTGTTTAATTTATCGCTCTGGTTGGCGTATTGGTTACTGCGACAGCCTTGAACTAAACAAACTAATCAGATTAAAAAGCATTTTCTGTAATTGTCAGACTCTTCTTCCTTCAGGAAGAGGTAAATTTGTGAACTATAATCATCCTGTCGATGCCACACTTTCAGCCCTGTTCTGTACCAAATGTCTGATGAAACGTTTTCTCCATCCAGGTGCTTCTACCCGGTCTTCTTCCACATCCAGATGCTTTGGGAGTTGGTGTTGCTCGGGGAGGCGCTGGTCGTCATGGCTCCGTCGCCCGCCGAGTCGTCAGAAACCGTGCTGGCGCTGGTCAGGTGAGTCGAGACGTTTCTGGCTCGCCTGGAGCCGACGTGCTGCAGCACAAATGTCTCCTACATGCAGAGGAGTTTTGGTTTCCTGCAGAACTGGTTGGTGTGACGAACAGATTGACTGAGATGAACCCGTCCTCCTGTCTCTCCGTTTCTCTGCAGCTGTGTCTCTCCGCTGCGCTACTGCAGCGACTTCAGGCCGTACTTCACCATCCATGACAGCGAGTTTAAGGAGTACACGACCCGGACGCAGGCTCCGTGAGTCAAAATGAGCCGAACTGTTAAAACTCTGAAAATACAGGAGAATGAATCATTTTCAGTCACTTCTCTCATGACTAGGCCTGTCACAGTAACCAATAAATCTATTAATCGCACTCATGAACTAAAACAAATTTTGACATATTTTTACACACTGAAATGACAATACACACGTTTCTGGCTGCTGCCGTTAGCTTAATGGCCAATATCTTGTACACAACTAATGCACAGAAACATCTGAAATATTCATAAGACTATTAAATAATGCTGCTAAAGTTTACATAAATAATTGATTAGCTATAAGAGCCAATTAATTATCTAATTCAATAAGAAGCGGAGGGAAAAAAGTCTGCATTTTTAACATAAAACATGTTTCCCCACACAAAACTGACAATGGACAGGTTTCTAGATCTAGTTCACAGCTGAAACACAGAATAATTATGTATTCACTCTACAGATTGTTTGTCACATCAGGAAAACCCAGTTGGATCGTCAGCAGTTTGGACCTGAAGTCTCACTGACCTTCACACGTTTTAGCACTATTTTAGAACTGGACTCAGATGTGTTTTGATTAGAAAATAGTTTTCAGTAAAACCACTTTTGGAGAAGCAGCAAATGTCAAAAACGACAATAAAATTTAGTAAGAGACAAAACATTCAGAGTAACAGAAAGTACAGGCAACCATTTTTAGTTTTCTGAACCTGGTTTGCATTTTAACAAAGATTTAACTTTGTTAAATATATACAAGTAAAATTAATAAACATGAATTAATTGTGTATTTGTGGATCTGCAGGCCGTCCGTCATTCTGGGAGTGACCAATCCCTTCTTTGCAAAGACTCTGCAGCACTGGCCGCACATCATCCGCATCGGAGACATGAAGCAAGCAGGTGAGCTGCATGTCACCTGATTGTTATAATGAGTAATAAATTCATTATTTATGAATGTCTTACATGTTTGTTTCTCTTAGGAGAAGTGGCCAAGCAGATGAAGGTGAAGAAACTGAAAAACTTGAAAACTCTGGACTCCAAACCTGGTAAAGACTCTTCATTGTTGGAGCCGCCAGCTGATCTCACTCCTGCCTCTGTAAACTGATCTCTGTGTGTTTTCTTCACAGGTGTGTACACTGCCTACAAGCCATATCTCAACAAAGATGAAGAAATCATCAAGCAGCTCCAGAAGGTAACAACCCGGCGCGAGTTGCTGCATGTTTTTACAGCAACCTGGGCTGAAGGAGTCGTAAAACTTCTGCAGATCAGATCTCTTATCTCCTGAAGCCTGTTTGAACACATCGCCTCTCTTCTATCCGATGGAAGCAAAGACATGAAGATTTATGTGGGATAATTTCTTCTTTTATAACTGCTGCAGCTACCGATTGCAGGCTGAGGGGTAAAAGAGCAGGAAGCAACACGAGGGTTATTGCCTTGCAGCAAAAACGTGACTGCTGGGTTAATCGCTCTCTCTAATTGGCAGAGGAAGACAGTAACTAGTTACATTTACTTTAGTAACTTTTTTGAAAAATAAGGAGTGTATTTTTTACTTTTACTTGAGTAATTTAATTATAAAGTATTTCTACTCTTGAGTAAAAGTTCTGAATTTTTTACCCACTGAATGAAAAACAAAAATGTTTTAACCAGAAATCCAGCAGACAGACACACAAAGTTAAAGTTTCACAAGTTTTCTTTAAATTGAAAGAAACTGAATTGGAAACATTTTCTTTTTATTTTTTGTTACTTATATGAATTATCATGTTGGTCCTTGAAATGCCAAAATTTAAAATTTACTTTATATTTTGCTTCATCTGTAATTTTTAAATATTAAATAATTTTTAATCAGTTACTCGGCACTTGAACAGACCTTTTACCAACTACAAGTTACAATATTTTTTATTCTTCAGAGTGATTTCTTGGACGGCTATGTTTTACTTTTACTGAAGTAAAAATATGTTACAATACTTCTCTTACGTCAGTAAATTTTTGGATAGTTTACCCACCTCTGCTAATTGGTCTCATGATGTTTGGGATCAAAACAATCATATTTAATAAATTTATAGAAATAAATCTATTAATTCCACACATATTGACATTTTAAAGCTTTTATTTCTGTTAATTTTGAATTTACCAAAAATGTAAGTTTAGTAGTTGAAAATGTTTGAATGTTTCTGTGGAAAAAATGCACAAACCGTGCTTATAAAAAATAAAATCGGTATCGGCAGGTCAGAAAACTGCAAACTGTTCTAATATTTTAATGTTAAATTGACAATTACTGCTTGATCAAATAACTTTAAACTTTTTTAAATTGTGTAAAAACCAAGGAATGCATTTTAAAAGTCAGATCATTTTATGGATCATTTTCTTTCTCAGCGGAAGGAGGAAAATCTAACTTTAAATCTAACTTGCTCATTTTCATGTCCTGAAAGTGAAAATGTTCTGTGAACTCGTGTCGTTGCGGCCCGAAGCATCACTGGCTCTGAACCGTCTGCTTCTGTTTTTCAGGGCGTCCAACAGAAGAGGCCGTCGGCGGCTCAAAATGCCATTCTTCGCCGGTGCTTTTTAGAGCTGACTCAGAGCTTCATCATTCCTCTGGTAAACGTCGTCAGTTTTATCCACCATGAAAACACACAGCCGGGGTTAAACGCCGAGTCGGGTCGTTGCAGGAGCGATACGTGGCCAGCCTCATGCCTCTGCAGAAGTCCATCAGTCCCTGGAAGAGTCCGCCTCAGCTCCGGCCTTTTGTCCAGGCTGACTTCATGAAGACTCTGGAGAAAGCAGGACCGCAGCTCACCTCCAGGCTCAAAGGAGACTGGATAGGACTCTACAGGTGCCAGCTGTGTATAATAAAGCCATAGCTCTGTAAATGTAAATGCATACAGGAACAAAGTGATGTAAGCCTCTGAGTCGGCGTGAACTCCTGTGATTTTTATTTTTAGGCATTTTCTAAAGTCTCCCAACTTTGACGGCTGGTTCCGGAGCAGGAAAAGAGAAATGACTCAAAAACTGGAGGCTCTGCACCTCGAGGCTCTGTGTGAGGAGGTGAGCGAGACGACCAGATAAATGACTGGTGTGAAACCCCAGAACCGCAAAGTTTGGTCACAACACCAGGAAAACCAGAAAAGTAACTGGGGAAATGAAACCAACTTCAACAACATGTGACCCGTTCATTCATCCAGCCACCGGGGGCGCTGTCAAACTTGACTTGGAGTTACCAAATTCAGCAGCGAGTTGCTGACATTCAGCTTGTTTGGATCCAGTTGGGCATTTTTACCGCTAGGATCTGTTTTTACATCCCATTTTGTCTTTTTTACCACTTCTGCATTTGTGGAATTGAAGTTCATAAGTTCATAGTGTAACTTGGTGTTTTTTGATGGGATTGTGTATAAAAATAGTTCATATCCTAAAATAGGATTATGAACTAAATGTGGACAGGCACACCGCTTTGAATTTACTGATAAATTAGAACATAATCTCAGCCCCAGTCTAAATTCTGCAATATCCAAATACGTTAACTTCTTCTATCCTATATTAAAATAGTGATGTGACCAAATTTCTAAATGTATTTTTAATTTTGGGTATGAAGATTTTTCACCACATGAGGAAGTGAGTAACAGTACTATTAGGAAGCAACTTCCATTATTTAAGTGTTTTAGTAGAAATGGTAAATTCTCTGCATGTGATGCAACTTTGAATCAAAAGATTACTTTGGATTATAAAACTAATATATAAACAATGAAACAAATAATTAATAAGGTATCTTTCAATGTTAAGTTTTTTTATTTCAATAAAACTGAAAAGTTTGTTTCGTTCCTTAAGTGCCTGGTGGATCTAATCAGCATCAATCAGTATCAGGTTTTCACACTAATAACTTCTAATTAATTTATCATCTGATTGACAGAAAAAAACTCCGGTAATGTTTTGAATAATTATATATTCAGGTATTAAGTGGTTAAAATGTTCTATTGCTAACAGATACTGCATTAACATTAAAATAAGTTTATTGGTCAAATTAAAATATTCCTTTAACCCTGTTGGGAGTCTGACTAGTTTTAGGTTTAGGAATAAGTAACTTTTGTTTCTGTCTGCAGGACCTGCAGCAGCGAATCCAGAAGCACTCAGAGGTGGAGGCAGTTGATCTGGTTCTGAAGCTCAAAGACAAACTGGTGAGCACAAACTCCAGTTATATGAATTACATTCAGGTGGAAATGACACCAACAAGCCATCATTGCATTGCTTCGGTGTGGAGGGCTTTAAATGGCATCTAAAGCTGTAGTGGGAGTTTTTTCTTTTCTTAGCATTCGCTTCTGGAGCTCTTAGATTTTTTACCAGAATAAAGTTTTACAACAAAGTTTAAATAACATGAGAACAAAGTGACATCAGTGATTCATTTTTAAGGGAAAATTTTAAAATTTATATGAGAAATGTTGAGAGGAATCTTCTGATGTTACGCTTTGGTAAAAGTTTTACAGATAATACTTAGTAGAAATAATCTTTCAACTCGTCAGCATCAAATTATTATAAGTAACAGGAATTTTTTTATAGATATTGAGCTCATTTTAATTTATCTTGAGTCTAATTTATTTATTGCTTATTGTAGGTAAAATTGTGGTTATACTGAAAATATTATGACTGAATTCTAGCAATTAAGCACAAATTCCCATAGCCTCCCTCTAACACTCATCAGAGAAAAAAATATTTTGTATAATTTGAAACAAAAACTGATTAAATTTGTAAATGGTATGAAAAAAAATCGTTTTGTGTCTAAGCCCTTTTTAAAAGTCTAAAAATCCAAAGTGTTGACGTTTTGTGCTGCAGAGCCAGGCGGAGCGGGAGCAGCTCCCGGTCCGGCCGGGGACTCTGTCCAAACTCAGAGCCCACATCGAGGCCGTCATCCTGGCCTTACCAGAGGACCTGCAGGGCATTCTCCACAAACCGCCCACATCCTGATAAATCCCGATAAATCCCGATAAACGGGTCCAGCTGCTGGCGGGACCGAGGCCCGGCTGGAGGCCTGCTCGGCTCAAACACGGCGCGCTAACTCGGCTTTGGGAATCATGCGGTCTGGACCGGCCTGGAGCTGCCAGATGAAGTGTTTTGTTTGGGAAATAAAGGAGAGCTGATCACGTTCTCACATAGTCCACTACTGATCCTGAACCTGTGGTGAGTAGCGGACAGGAAAACTGACTCAACATTTTTACTTCTGAACATCTTCGGTTCCTATTTTTGAACCGGGCTCCAGAGTTTTCATCCTGTTTTTTTTTTTTTCTTTTAAAGAAAGTGCCCAACAAACTGGCATGCCCTCACACACACCCAGACTTATGCAAACAAACTGAACCGAGCAGAGCCAAGCAGTGCATTATATTTATATTTCACAGAAATGTTCTTTATTGAAACACAAACAGCATTCAGAACCAGCAACCTGCTCTAATCCTGCTGCTGTGAAGCGTCGCTCAGGAGCCACAACACCACTACCAGTCTGGCATATCTCTGCATCGGGTAGCTAACCGTCTCTGCAAGAACATCCTGCTACATGCATGGTGCAAATTTTATTTGTTTTTGCCTGAATTTGTGTCCATTTTTAAACTGAGCTCAGTGATGAAGAAGCAACAGTGGTGCATTTTACACCTCAAAAATACAAATTTCTTGTCCAATTTATAGTGAAAATATGTTAGTTCACCTGAAAGACGACAAAACTTTTCCCAAGCAACTTTTTAGCAAGATATGGAAGCTTGCATTAAGTCAATTCCTTAACTTTATTTAAAAAAGTACTAGTTTCACTGGTAGATTATTTCACTTATTACATGGGAAAAATGTTTTAAGTATAATAATCTGCGAGTGGAACGAGTAAAACAAGCTTCTATGTATTTCTTCCTGAAAAATTAAAAGGTTAAGTGTTTTGTCTTATTTCTAGTGAACCAAGATATTTGCACCAGAAACTAGAGCAGAAGGACTTGGTAAGACTTTGTGTTTTTGCAGTGTATTGAGAAAAAAAGAGGTGTGAAGTTATAATAACAAGAAATAAGAAATATTTATTTCCTTCAGAAGGAAATAAATATTTCCTTATAAATATAAACAGGCTTTCATAACAAACAGGATGCACAAATAGATGTGGTCATGACTTTATGATTCAAGATTTTAACATAAGAATGTGAAAACTCTTGCTAATGTGAAAAATAAGATGCAGTTTATCATCATGCATTTAATTTACAATCTATATTTTTGCTCCTGATTACCTTTTTCTTCTGCTGATTAATGTGTGGAATATTTTTCACTGAGCAGCAGTGAAATTAACACAGACATAAATATACAGACTTAACTAAAATGTATCTATTAATATTTCTTTACTAAATGAGCAACAGGTAATCAAAAACTTAAACACCAGATGATTAATGCTTCGTTTCCACTGAGCGGTATGGATTAAACATTGACTGACGGCCTTCATAACAAACAGGATGCACAAATTTGAATTGTGAACTTTCTCTAATCCACACCAAGTCAAATTTTTACATACAAGCTTAAATATTGTTCATTGTTTCCCAGTAACATTTATGTAAATCTCCAATAGAGGAAATTCAAACTTTTGCTCCGTTTGGTGCAAAACGCAGCAAATGTGACTAATTCTCACCATGACGCTGCCATTACTGTGAAGCACAGTAATGGCAGCATCATGGTGAGGGTCTGTTTTGTTGCGTGACTGGAATAGTGAATGGTTGTTTGTGATGAAAGGCTTGTTTTTGTGAAATCTGCTTCAGGATTTTGTTTTTAGGTTTTTAAATATTTCTTTTGAATGGGACATAAAAAATTTTTGTAGAAAATTGTTTTTAAAAACTACTTTAATTAAGTGCTTGATAAGAAAAGAAAAATGTTCCATATTTATTAATCTACTCTTCGTGAAATAATTATGCATTTCTTACATGAAAACTCTTTGGAAAAAAAGGCTAAAGCTAGCATTTTTTAATAACCTTTACGTTTTAAAGGGAGAGTGTTATGTAAATTTAACTATTTTGAGCCGTGCATCATGAAATGTTATTTTCTCATCAAACACGTACCTTTAATCTCCATGGCAACCATTCACCTGTCCAAAACACCTGTGTGGACCTAGCCCCGCTTTTGGGGCACAGCTCCTTCAGACTAGCCAGCAGCAATTAGCAAAGACCTGGTGGGACATCTGCTGAGCTCATTGTAGGAGCAGCTTTTCAGTGTAACGCTGGTAAAACGATGTTAAGGGTTAACAGAGGAGCCATGTTGGGATGACTTCCTGAAGGCGGAGCTTCAGAAAGAGCAGGAGTTTTTAAAGTGACAGAGGCCCAATTTGAAGTCGTTAAATTACAATGTAAATTTTAAGTCATAATTGATATTTGGAGCATTTTTTATCATCTGAAGGTAACATAGTTACTTGACTACACTATAAAATGGCACTGTGACACATAATACTGCCCCTTTGAAACATTGCTGAGTTCTTTAGCATTTTTGGATAAAGTTATTAAAAATCGTGTTGGTCAAAATGTGGCTCTGGAGCCACAGGTTGCAAACCCTTGAGCCAGATGTTTGAAACTTGGACTCAGCTGACCTGTCTTGGTGGTAGGAAACCGATTTTTAATTGAAGCTGGTGAATCGCTGCAAAAACATTTATCCAAGTATAAGAAGGCTCTCTGAATAATTGAGCTTATATGTATAATTTTGACTGTGAATCAGAGAAAATCCAAAACAATTCCAAATCATTGTTGCTTTTGTTTGTTGTCTGGTCATCCTGTCTTGGACGTAAACGCTTCTGATGTTCTTTAAATCCCAGAAATCAATGACCTGCCTGCGTACCGCTGAAGAGTTCTGGTACCAGGTGTAATAAAACTGACACCTTCTGGATGTCGTTCTGAAGGGAAGACGCTCATCAGAAGCAGCTTTCCACCACTGATCTAGATTCCAGATTAAATCAGAAATCTTAAACCAGACGAGGAGATTGCTTGGTGAGAAACACAAACTGATAAAATTCTGCTTAATGTTTTTTTTATAATGCGCCTAAAAATTGATTCTGTTCAGCTTGGAGCTCCTTTTGGTGTCAACCCGGTCATTTTTTGCCAAAAAACAAATAATGGGAGAATAAACTTTATTTTTAAGCAGTTAAAATGTTTTGTCAGCTGTTTTATATCAAATTAATAAAAACAATTGAATTATTTTAAATTAAAACCAGAAATTTTAGATAATTTTGTTTTATTTTTATGATTTACTGCATAAAGGAGAGTTTCAGGAACTACCAGAAAGAAAACAAAATATTTGAATTTTAAATTAAAATAAAAAGATCCCTGAGTTTACCAGTTAACTTTCATGAGAATAATCAAGAATCAAGACGTTGAAAAAATTTAATTGCAATCGTGAAGTACGAATGTTTGTGGAGATAAATATTGCCTTAAAATGGGAATATAACCAAAGACCAAACTAATTTGAAAAGTAACCTCTCTGTCTGTAAAATATATTTAAAAACACTTTTAATTGTACATTTTCTAAAAGAACCAGAATATTAAATATGAGACCAGATGCATAAAGGGAAGATGATCACTGCTGCATGTTCCAGCTCTATAATCACAACCTGTGGATGTTTTTAAATGCTAAACTATCTTAATATGTTTAATTTTTGAGTCATTTTGTTGACTACATCAGTGAAACAGAAAAATGAAGTGTCCTTATTGAACAATTAAAGAACCTGAGCGCCAAGCAACACTTGTAGGTTTATTGGCAGTGAATTTACAGCTACATGGATGGGAATGACGCTTAGAACCACTGCAAAATTCAAGATTTTCAGTCTGTATAACATGTTTTACTAAACATCCTAGAACAACTAACAATGAAAAAGCAATAACAAATAAAAAATACGTTGACATGAAGTCGCCTTGTGCTGATGGTGTTTGTTTTGTAACGTTTTTTTTTTCTTTCTTTTAAAACATTTTTATGTTTTGACTACATCTGCATTTTAAAGTAATTTGTTGGCCTTTTAACATTGTTTTAAATTAATTTCACACTTAAAATGTTTTGGTTTTTTGAGCCTTAACGGTCGGATGATCCCATTTTGGCCAACTGTTGGGGAAGCCCAAAAGTTTTATATTTGTGAAAAACTTACAATCTTGAGTTGATTTAGAGGCTCGAACACTGCAGATTGAGTTTTGTACATAAAAATGTAAAATGAAAGCTGACAGACTGTATCAGGATGTTCAATCCATATTTTGTTATTAAAACATGTCTTACTAAACAGAATAATTACTCCTGGTGTTTACTTTCCCGAGTTTCTTCATTTGGCTTTCTGAAGAGAACAGAAATGGGAATGGGCGCCCCCTTGTGGGGAACTAATGAAATTATTCATTTAAGAATAATGTTTTTCTTCTGGCCTCAACATCCCCTAGAAAGACAACTTTTTAAAATGTGGATCAACTCGCCCACATCCCATAGTCTGGTAGAAGTTCAAGTCCATAAACTGGAATGAAATCTATGAAATAAATGAAAATCAATGAGTTAAAGTCTCTGATCTAAAAATATTTTTATCAATAGAAAAAAAATCTGTAAACATCAGTTACTTCAGATCAAAATTGTTTACATTGCAATATCACTGATAAAACGCACAATGATTTTTTTTTTCCAGACGGGATCTATTCATGCAAGAATCATCACAGTGAATCTTCAAACTGAATTTTAACAACTAATTTCTGCAGAATAATCAGTTCATGGTCATGACAGAATGAAGCTGCGCTGTGATTTTGATGAAATGTGATGAAACTGTTTTTTTCTGTTCACACAGATTGGTATAAACTTCTGGTTTTATTTTAACCAGAAGTACATAATGTTATTCTGTATAAAACAAAATTCACTAACATGCATTATTTAATTAGAAATCACTTTATTGTAGTTGAAAGTTAAATTGATTTACAAAAGAAGGAAAATAAACTATTAAACCTGTAATGTGTTTTTGAGGATATTTTTGATTAGTGCAAATATTAACTGATTAATCTTCATGTTAATTATGTGTTCAGATAGAAAGGTCAAAAAGTTAGAATATGATTTCAGTGAACATTACATCTCTTTCTCCCATTGCTCTCTCTTGCGCTCCTCAAAGAGGAAAAGCTTCTTGGGCTTGAATTCTCGCTTCAGGTAATTTCTGTGTTTCTGCTTGTGGTTCAGCTTTTCCCTCTGCAGCTGATAACCGTCCTCCAGCAGCGTCCTGCCTGACTGGGAGTAGCTGATGTAGGACCAGCTGAGTACAGACCCTTGGTAGGACCTGCAATCACAAGCACAAACTTGATGTTACATTTGTTTGAAATAATATTAGATATAATAACTATGTATTTTGTAAGTATTGATTATATAAAAAAATTCAGTGACCTGTATTTGTTTCCATTCAGTTCAGTAGCTGCATTTATCCATCTGTTTTTATTAACCATTATCAGGATATTCCTAACCTGAACTTAATTCACATCGTAACTCTAAAGCAGTGATATCTAAACTTCTTGTCACCTGGAAGAATTCAGGGCCAGATGTATTTTTCCTCCATTAAATAAATTATTGAACAAACAATAAATTAAAGACCTGATAGCTTAGTCAATCAAAAGTGGTCTAATGGTCTGAATGGGACTAGAACATGGTCCAATCAGGCTATGTAAACACACACACACACACACACACACACACACACACACAGCATACCCGTAGCCACCGCTGCTCATGTAGTAGAGGACTTCTTGATAACGGAGAGGAAAATCCCAAACCTGCACATCAGTGATCTGACCTTCAAAGTTTGAAAAGTCAATCACACGGTCACCTGACCACACATACTGAAGACACACACACACACACAAAGCAGATAATTTTGGAGAGAACATTCAGAAACTCATTGAGATTTACATTAAAGTGCATGTGTGTGTACAGATGCACATACATGCATCTGTACACATGTAAGAAATTACAAATGTACTGTAAACTTTACTTCAATAATTCTAACAAGACAAAACTAAAACAAATAACTTTTCAACAAGATACAGCAACTTGTTTTAAGTCAGTAATTCTTGAATATTTGTAGAAAACTGTTTTTTTTTTTTACTTATGGGAAAAATGTCTTGTTATAAGTGAAAGTATCTTCTAGTTTAAAGCTGTGCACTTTAATTGATGAATATATTTTTAGAGACATTTTTGCCCTATGAAGTGTAATAAGATATTTAGAAACACAATAAAACTACTTGGTAAGAAGTTGTTTTTTTTCAGTATGTTACAACATACTGCATAGATTGAAATTTTCTATCCAGGACAAATTTAAAAAAAAAAAAAAAAAACAAATACTCAAATCTATTTTGGATTTTGACTGCAATGATTCAAAATGTGGAAAAAGTGAAGGGATGTGAAAACAGTCACATCTCTCGATCACTGCAGACAATAAATCAGAGATGCTGTTCATTCTGTCCTCACCTGGTTGTTCAGCAGCTTCCTGCTGCTCATGTTTGAGTTTTTGAACATCTGAACTACGCCTTTCACGCTGTCCACAGTGAGGCAGATGCTGGTCCACATGTTGGGCGTCAGATAAGGCCAGAGTTTTAAGTAAGGTTGCAGGAAAACTGTGTTGTAACTGTTGAAGCTCAGCGCGTATGACTGCAGGCCACCAACCTCCAGCCTCAGAGACTGTCTGGAGGGGCTGAGGGTGAAGATGGAGCCACCCTGAGAGTCTGTGATGTACCGCAAACACACCGACACACCTGCAGGGGGCGCACAAGACAGAGAAGCTCAAAACATAAAAGTGACTAGGTTGTAAATAAAGAGTAAATAAATGAAATACAAAAAATATATAACAGAAGGTAGCGAAATAAAAACAACAAAAAAGGAAAACATGAATAACATGGTTATGTTTTTATTCTTCTGCCTCTCCAGAGTTGCTATTCTGCATATCTTACGCTAACAGCAGGTCTTGATGCTCGATTCACATTTCAGATGGTTTCCTGAAATCTGCTTTTTTGCTCATTAGTAGAGACTTATAACCTCGTAGCAACCTGCATGCACAGAGAAAGAAGGCTGACGTCTCACAGCTGTTATTTCTATTTACAGAAATAACAATGGCCGCCGCCGACTATGGTTTTAAATTGACCAGCTGGGATTATGTTGTGATGTGCTTCATTGACTCTTTTATAAATTCATAATTATAGTTTTCAACCATTGGTTACATCCAGTTTTACCGCATCTGGCTTCTTCTAGAGCAGAATTAAGAATATTAACTAAAATGAAATAATACAGCAAACTAAGCTGAGCAAGAACAAAAGGAAAAAGAAAGAAAACCAATAGCCCTGCTAACTTTGTTCTTTGTTGAAGTTTTTCACCTTAATGAACAGAGAATATCAGTAAAGTGATTATTTGTGGAGGAACTCACCTCTAATGGAAGGAGCTGTGGACCAGGGGTACCGAGTGGAGGAGCGGGTGGTGTACCGATGATGGTGAGTTGTAGGTTTAAGGGTGGTGGTCTTTAGTTTATGGGTAGACATTTCAGCTGTGCCTGTGTTGGTTTGGGTGTAGCTGGGTGTGGAGGTGTAACCTGTGGAGGCAGAGTCGGTGTAACCTGTGGTTTGGTATGATGTAGAACTTGCCCCGGGGGGCATCTCGTAAGGCGAATAGAAGGTCAATCTTCCGTAATAACCGGACAGAGTGAACATCTTCCCATTCAGATTGACTCCAGAAGCACCTGAGGAAGAAAGCATAATCAGACACAGCATCAGAATGAGATAAAGTCCTGATTCTTCCTCAATATTTCAGAGAATGCTTGTTGTTTATCAAAACTGCATAACAAGAGTGCATTGAAAGTCTTCTTCCAACATTTTGAGTTTTTTTTCATGTTCCAACCGTTCTAGAAACATGCCTGGGGCATGTCTTTATTTTCAGTGCCTGGGGTTGTTGTAATGAGGTCTTTACAGGTCCTAATCCTGGAAAACACCAACAAAATGGTTCCTGTCATACCAGATCTCAAGGGTGTATTCACAGGAAGTGTATTTGTAGAGTTCACTTTTTTGGTCCACATCAGAGATTGATAATGCATTCACACCTCCCCAAACGAACCGGCAACAATCGGTTCGCTTGTTGCCGGTGGTTTTGCTTAGAAGGTTTAGTTCAGTTGCAGGAAATTCCAATGTGAAAGCAACAAAGTCCAAAGAATTTCCTGGAGAGGATACACCCTACACTGCAAAACCACATCTTACCAAATAGATTTTGTTTGGTTTCTAGTTAAAAATGCCTTAGCACACTTGAAATAGGAAAAAATTAACTAGAAATTTTGATCCCTAATTTAAAGTATTTCCTATTAGTGTGTTTAAATTGCTTGCATATGAAAGAAGTGACATGCAGCTAAGGGAGGCAAGACCGAACAATATGAGCTGTACTTTAAAATCTACAGAATGGTTATGCAACATAACAGAATGGTTATGTCACATAAAACCCTAATAAATAAAGTTTGTGGTGTGAAGCAATAAAATGTGGGAAACTATGTGAATATATGGAAAGTTTTAAAAAATTTAATTGAAATTGAATTTTCAATTAAATTTACAAATGGACACATTGCTAAACCGCCCCATGAGGTCAGCCATGGAAACACTGGCATGTTTTGGCAAATACTTTAAACATTAAAGTATTTAATGTCACTTCGCGATGTGGATTAATGTGAGTTTTATCCAAACATGTTAAAGCCAAAACAAATACATACTGAACTCAAGGGTGTTTGTAAAACAAACAAATATACTGAACTTTGTGAGTTCAGCATATTTAAAACTATTCAGTTTTTCTAAATCTGATGTTGATGACACTGAGAATAATGTTGACCAAATGTTAACAAAAACAGGAAATTTGCAGGAGATAAAGGTTACATTTCCACAAAATTATTCAAACTAATAAAAACTGTATTTCAGGGACTGAGTCGGTCATTTCTTCACTTTCCATTGCTTTAAAAAGAAGAAGTGAGCTAATTTTGAAAATTCTGCAAATGCATTAGTGTAATTTAGGAACTTCTGTGACCTTACGGCTGTGACCTTTCGGCTCTTACCTGTGGAGTCTGGCCAAGCATGCAGTGACCTTTCGGTGAAGGACGTCAGCGTCACAATCAAGAAGAAAAGCAGCTTCATCTTCACACTCAGCCGATCTGTCGACGTCTGCAGGGAACAAAGCAACCAGTGATAATAAATAATCTCTGCCTGCAGAGCTGAACGTCAGCTTGTTTACTTTCACTTCCTGCTTCAAAAGTCATCAGCCTCTCTAAGTTTCATTTCTCGGGTTCAGCGTCTGCCCTCCTTTACTCCCCCTGTTCAGGGGAGGATATTAGTGTAACAGGACCATGTGACATTCGGACCGGGATTTTTATAAACCACAATCTGTGCAGAGCTCAGATTACTTCATCTATATGTTTATCATCCAGAAATGTATCTGCATGAGACAAATGAGTGAAAGCAACTGGTTTGTTAAACAGAAGTAAAATCTGTGTCCAACTTCTACAGTTAACATCCCAAACTTCCTCTTTTGTGTGAAAATCAGGGCGATTGCTGCTGATTAAACAGTTTTATGATGATTTTATCAGCAGGTGTGAAAACTCAGGCCTTTGATCCAAGAAGTCAACTCCTACAAGAACAGTTACAGTCATTGCTCTGCTGTTTGTTCAAACCTGATGAGAAAGGAGCCCTGCAGAGTAAAACTGAGAGAAAACAAACTTTAAATAACCCTTCCTCCAAACAGAATTGCATAAAGTCAAGGAAAAAAATCAGCTTATCTTCTGTGCACTCAGATTTTAGCTTTAAGTGTTTTGAGCCTGTGAAGGAGCAGCAGATTGACAAGCAGCACAAACAACAAACTGAAATCACCAATTCCACTGAAAACAGGTCGTTATAATCTGAGTGGCGCATGTCCATCCATGTTTGTTGTTCTCGTTCTGTTCTTTGGATGAACTGCAACTAACTTCTCATATCTGTCACTCAAACAACAGAGACAGATATGAGGAAAGAACCAAACATTTCCCGTCTAAAGAGACTCTGGAGACAGAAAAAAAATGAAGTCTGCATATTTTCAGCAGTTTGAACCTTGTACTTCTGCAGCACATTCCAAAAATATCCCAAACCTCCTCTTTCGTATGCAAATTACAAAATGCCCTGACTATTGGTGAAAGGGTTTAAGGTTTTCTGAAATGAGAAAACAACCAAGGTATGTTGCTTTCTGAATAATATGGTGTCTGATATATCTGAAAAATGCTGACAATTATTGATGAATGATCAACAGTTGAAAACCGGATAATTCACACCGGGGCACTTAATGTTGCCAAGTAGCACCTGGAAATTTTGAAAGATGATTTAATTCACCTGTTGAACTGAATCAAAATGTTTTTCAGTGGACCGCTACCGACGGTTCTACATGGAGGTGAGACATACAGCAGGATGCTTACGGTTAATGAATGCCTTAAAAACAGGAACTCCCAGTTCAGCAAACTCTGTTGGCAAGTTTGGCAGCGTAACCTTCTTTTCAAACCAGACGGACTCTGTCTCATAAAGCTTCTTTGAACAGGTTAGGAAAGACCTATAACATGTTTTTGATGAGATTGTACTCTATTCAGTTCTGCCTGGTTTGAGCTGTTTTAGGGCCTCTTGTCACTATAAATCCAAATAAGCGGGGGATGGTGACTCCCACAAATTCAGCATTTACACTTGCACTTAAAAATGGCTGGAAAATGCAATCATACAACCTCACATCTTTGAAAAGCAGAAGTAGAGCCTCTTGCACAACCAACAAGAATGTAGCAGCTGCTACATTCTTGTTGGTCATCAACAAAACACTTTCCAGCAGCCATTGTGTAACACATGCATCTGGCCGTTGTCTATAAGCTCTTGGCTTGTTCTTAGAAGCAGTGAAAACCCAAATGGGAGAATAAAACATGCAAAAAGTAAATTTTGCATCATGCAAATAAATCTGATCAAATTTTTTTCCCATCAAACATTTCTTCATTTTGAATCAGAGACACTGAGAAATCAATCTGCACATTAAATCCATCATGCTTTGAACAAACATGACAAATGTAGAGAAAATTCCACCAAGTCAACCATAAAAACTTATAAGAAAAAATGATAAATCATTTAAGCTCCTTTTCTCACTGTTTTGATTTCCAACAAACAAACCATGTAGTTTGATAGATAAATTTTAACTGCAGATCATGCAGAGCTTTGTGTTTAACTGTGGGAACAAGGTCTGGGAATCCTGAAAAAAGACTTTAGAGAATATTATGAATTGGTTTTTAATGTTCTGACCAACTTTTTTATCTGTGTCTGATTGGGACGATCTGGACCACATGTGTCAAACTCAAGACCCCTGGGCCAAATCTGGCCCGCTGTAGCTTTTTATGTGGCCCTCTAGATTCTAGACTAAACACTAAATCTGATTAGATATTGTATTATCAATTAAGTCAATGGAGTTTTTATCTGTTTGCTGCCAAATTATATCAGTCCCTCCAGTTTCTTGAGAATTATCATGGAAATTGAAGTAAAATCACCAAATCCCAACACTTTACATACTTGGGAATTCAGTGCAGTTTTTTTCTCCAAAATTGTCAAAAACTTTATTATTTGTACTCAACAGCTGCCTCGGCCTTTATTGATGTCAGATTGTAGTCTAGTAATAAAAGGTCTTCATAAATTATTGCAAATATTTCCAATACCACAAACACTTTGATTTTTATTGTAGAAAACACCAACAGTATCATAAAGTCCTGGAGGGACTGAAAAGATGTTTAATAATGTTATTTAATTTTAAGAATTCATTGATATTTTAAATTTGTGAACAGGTTTTATCAATGCATTCTGGCACAACCGGCCCTTTAATATTCATGATCTGGATTTGCTCCAAAACGAAAATGAGCTTCACACCCCTGATCCAGACCAACCTGGTTGTGTCACACCTGCCAACAAACACCAGAAAGAGGCAGAGCAAATGGCATCACTTCCTGCTACGAGCTATGAAAACAGGAAGTGGGGGAATTTTCAAAATAAAACTGAAGATACTGAAGTTTTTATTACCTTCAATAGCTGATAGATAGATAGATAGATAGATAGATAGATAGATAGATAGATAGATAGATAGATAGATAGATAGATAGATAGATAGATAGATAGATAGATAGATAGATAGATAGATAGATAGATAGATACACTTTAAAATTCTCAATGTCAAAACTTTCACGAATAAAACACATACTAAGAGTACTGAAAGTGAAGTCAAGTTAGTTCACTTATATATGACCTCGTACTGCTTTGCCTGTATGTCTGTTTTTCAAGTTTTCATTATTAAAACCTTCATAGTAAATAAATAATACATTAATTAATTACTGCCACTAGTGGTAGAAGTACTGTATTACAATACCAATGACAAACAAACAAACAAATAAACGAATAAATAAATAAAGGTTCTTTCTCTAACAAAATCTAAATATTGAGTCGTTTTAAATTTCTGTTTAAAACGACTCAGTGCTTTTATTTTGAAAGCCGTGGAGGCGGAAGTGATGTCACTAGGTGTTTTGAAGTTCCCCGGTGAGCCAGCTGTGTTTACGTGCGTCCTTCCACGGTGGAGCGAGCTGACAGCTCCCGGGATGACAGCGTGGGTTAGAGAAACACGCCCACAGCGGTGGTGTTTAAAACACGGGGCTCCCACGGACACGCAGACAACCTGGGACACTTCCTGCCTGGACCTTCATCATGGGAGTCATCATCTCACAGATCTTCTCCAGGTTCATCTCCAAGACTCCGGTCAGGATTCTAATGGGTGAGTTTCTGCATCTTAAATTAGCCAATCGGTGGACTAAATACCCTAAGCTAATCAATAATTGCTATTTATTTATAATTATTTGTGTCTCTAACAATCCCTACGACCAGTGTATGAGTTATATAAAACACATAAGGGGCTGAGTTGTACCACTGTTATTATAGCTGTTGATTTTAACAAAAGTAGCAAAATAAAAAAAAAGAGAAAAATCAGATTTCGAAGTGGAGTGATGTTCAAATGTACAATATTATTTTAACTATTTGAATGTAACATCAGTTGATAAACACTAAATTTACAGTGAACAGGTTAACATGTCTGATATCTTATATATTTGTTCTGTTTGTGTGTCTGCAGTGGGTCTGGATGCTGCAGGGAAAACCACGCTGCTGTACAAACTGAAGCTGGCTGAGGTGGTCACCACCATCCCGACCCTCGGTGAGTGGTTCTGACCTCCGACCTCTAATTATCTGACCTCGGAGCTAAAGAACCGCAGCGTTTTAAAGCCACACTTTCTTTTTCCTGTTCAGGTTTCAACGTAGAGACGGTGGAGTATAAAAACATCAGTTTCACCGTTTGGGATGTTGGTGGTCAGACCATCATCAGACCGCTGTGGAGACATTACTACACCAACACACAGGTAGAAATACTGCAGAATTCATTCACCTGCAGTTACATCACTTTGACGCACACTTGGGAAAAGTTTTATGTGCCAAACAGGTTCTACTGATTCCCCAAATTAGTCGATTGGTGTAAAATATGGCGAGAATCGCTTTGAGGGTGAAACAAGCGCCAAACAAATTTAGGGGTAGAGGCAACAAAATTAGAATTGTCTCAGCAACAGTCACTAGGAAGGCATTTTATTATACTGATTATCTGTTTACATTCATTTTGTCTAAAATACTTCAAAATTGTTTGACGTACAATGAACTACCACATTAGTAACTACCAAAATAGTTATATTAAACTTGTTTATTAATTTAAAATAACTATTTTTATATTAAACTAGTCTACTAGTTTAATGGAAATTAAATTGAAATTGTTTAATGTATTTTTAGTTTGTTACAGAAGTAACTAGTTACATTAGTAACTACTTTAATGTAACTAATTAAGCAATCTGCTAATGTATCCAGTTTATTAGTTACAATAAATTAATGTAAACAAGTTAGCAAGAAAAAACCAGAAAAGTCAAACACAAATAGAAACAAGATGGAAATAAATTGATCTGTTAAACTTACTGGACTGATAGCAATCGCTAAAAAATGACTAAACTCAACTGATACAGATGTTAATGCTGATATATAGTGCATCCCTATAAAATTTTCATTTATCACAATTCATTTTGCGGATTTTTTTCACCAAAATGCTGCCACCTTTCTTGCTGAATTTTCCATTTGTTTGTCTTCAGGGTTTGATTTTTGTGATCGACAGCAGCGATTCTGAGAGGATTAAAGAGGCTGCAGACGAGCTGCACAGGCAGGTGAGCCTCTGGTCACAACTCAAACTCAATGCTTGTTGACACGTTTGCACCCACAACTGACCAAAAATACTAAGAAATTTAGCAAAGTTCTAAAATGTAGAGGGTTTTTCAATGCAATGTGTTCATAACAATTTCACAGAGTAAAACTAATTCCAATAATAAAACTTATCTTATTGTTGTAAAGGCTGCTGACTCCTGGTCTGGACTAAGATTTTGTCTTTCCCACCTGATAGTCCGGTAGACCCGGTTCTATTAGAGACCAAAAACCACAACATTTGTAACATTTTCAGCTGCTGTGGTTCTTTCTTGCTCCAATGTGTCAAACCAATCAGACCCTTTGAACAACCTGTTCCCCTCCTCGCCTGAGGGGGCGCTGCACCAAGAACCACTGAAAGAAACAACACAAAACCTATGAAGGAGACACTGTAGCTTCCTTTTATGTGTGTCTGCTTTATGTAACTTCCTGATTCACAAAAATGCTATTAAAATGGAGTGGTGTCAGATTTTAGAGGTTGTAAGATTTCTCTTTTGTCTTTGGTAAAAGACAAAAGAGTGTTCTCCTGCTAGTACAAGTTAGCATATTTTTTTTGTTTGCATTTACCCAGAATGCCCTGTGCTACAATCCACTTCCTGCTAGTGGCGCGGTCTCCGGTTCACTGGCATTCACATTCACCACCAAAGATTACTACAACCAAACCCTGACCGAGATTTGTAGGTGGACCAGTGTCCCTTTTTGGTCTGATTGCACATTCACATCTCCCCAAGTGGAACGGACTTTGACTAGGCAAGCAGACTGGAGTAGGTTAGAAAAGCAAACTAAACAGGGCTGGTGGGAATCCAACCTAAATATCTATTTTACAAAAACATCTGAAGAAGTTTTTTTCTCAATTTCAAAGTAGAAACACGTTTGTTTGAAATTCTGTTCCTGCAGTGAAACATGGTGGTGGCAGCATCATGCAGGAGGAACACGTAATCTACTACTGCTATAGAATACTAAAGAAAGAAAAAACCTTGTGCAAAGTAATGTTAGTTTGAAATAATTTCCAAAGACTAAGCCAGATTACAGTGACTGAGACTCTAATCCCTGCTCTGTTTGTCCTGCAGCTGGAGGAGGATGAGCTGAGGGACGCTCCGGTTCTGGTTTTTGCTAACAAACAGGACTTACCTAGAGCCATGTCGGTCGATGACATCACACAGGCTCTCAGCCTATGAGGAGTCCGGCAGCCGGTAGGTACTTCCTGTGGTGATCAGAAATAATTTGGACAGGCGGTCTCATATTTACACTGAGGCCAGGTATTACAGGTAGAGAGCGACCTTTGACCTGGTGTGTGTCCCTGCAGTGGTTCGTCCAGTCGTCCTGTGCCGTCAGCGGCGCCGGTCTGGTGGAGGGACTGGACTGGCTCTCCGACCGGATCCTGAAGAAGTAGCTGCTGCTGAGATGCTCTGATTTCTGACGTTCCCACTGAGTCTTTGAAGGCACCAGGCGGCCGCTGGCGCCGTTTACCTGGAGAAACCTGAAGGATCTTCTGTAAAATGTCCAAACCTGTAAACTATTGCACTTTTTCTCTGGAAAGAGACAACCAGAAACTAATAGTTTTTTTTTTTTCTTTGAATTTGGGTTTGGAATAGTTGAGATATTTGCATATTGCTGTAAGATTTCATATTATTCTGATGGTTTTTGATTCTTCCTATAACATTTTCATTACAGTCACCAGTTGTTTATTTTGGGTGCTTTTACAACAGGTTTTGTGATAAATAAAAATATGCCTCACTGTGCTTTAATTTTCTGCAGATATTTATACTAATGTTTTATTAAACTGTATTTATTGTGGAAACCAAATGTTGATATCATTTGATAAAATAAAAGCCAGAAGAAGCAAAATCCTTTTGTCTTATTTTGACAGACTGGACTGATAGTTGCACAAGTATGACTGTAAAAAAATAAATAAGAAGTCATCAGTTTTGACCAAATTTAAGTTTTTGTTTTTTCATGTGTTTTATGGTTTGTTAAGTCGAGACTTCCAACTAAAGTAGACAATCAGAAATGTCTAACTTATCTCACACAGTGTTTACATTTTTAAAAAATGATAAAAGATTTTCCATACTAACCGATTTAACTCCAAATTTTTCCCAGACATTAAAATCAGATGTCATTTATGTTCGTCCGAAATAATACGGGGAAAATAATTTTAAAAATTGTGAAAAAATATATGAAAATTATGATTGGTCACAATTGTGACCAGTGGGATATAAAAGTACACAAAGATTCAACTAATTTATTGACTTCAATAAAGTTGTATCTTTTTTTAGTTTATTACTGAGCAAATAAAATAAAAAGGGGCACAAAATGTTTGCTTTAAAAATGTTAAAAATATAATTATTTGGTGCCTTGTGCTTTCAACTGAACATTTGGGAAGTTTGTACACCTCTTGTCTAAACTTTAATAAATAAATAAATTGCTATTATTAATTTAAGAATTAAACAGATAAAAGAAACTCATGAGATGTATCTTTGATTTTTTTTAAACGACGAATGATGTGTGCCTTTATTGTGAAGGTAGGCAAACCGGAAGTGAGGTCATGAAGCGCCTCGGAGTTTCCCAGTGATCCAGGTTTTGTTTACGCGCTTCCTTCCACCGTGGATTGTGCTGACAGCTGCTGAGATGAAGCCGTGGATAAGAGCAACACGCCCACGGGAAACACGGGAAACAGCCAAACCTGAACCCGGACCCGAACCCGTACCCGAACCTCCGTCATGGGAGCCATCATTTCACAGATCCTCTCCATGTTCCCCTCAAAGTCCCCGTCAGGATTTTAATGGGTGAGTTTTGGTTATTTTAACGTAATTCTGGCTGTAAAACTGGTGAATTCTGGGAAAGCAGATACTGTCGGCCATCACATATTTATTCATTAAATAAACGCAGGGCCGGCCCCAGCCTCCATGGGGCCCTCAGTGAAATCTGGTTTGGGGGCCTCCAGTTCTACTAACAATGTGGACCGGCTGCAATCAGCAGCCCGATCATTAGATCTTTCACACACCTGCTGTAAACTTGTTGCATCTCTGGCAGCGCTGTTTACATCATGTACATGAATAATAATAGGAATACATTTATTGGCCAACTGATTTATCGACCAGTTGATTTCTCTGAGACGATTTCCTTAGTTTTGGAGGATCGTGATCTGCTGATACTTACATGTGAAGCTAATCTTATCCCTGAATGCATATGTGGATCGGTTCTGGGTCTTTAAATTATTCTAACAGAACTTAGAAGTTGATGTATAAATAATGTTTCTTTTAGCCACAAAGTGATCAGCAGCAAACATTATGCCTCCATCTACAGCATAGAGCAGCTCATCATGCTGCAGCCATGCAGCCTGACGTAAAAAACATTTTGATAGACAATGTCAAACATTGACAAGTTTTAATTATTGTTATCAAACGTTATGAAACACCTCAGAAATATACAGAGGCACCATGAGAATCAACTGAAAGTTTAAACTCAGTTTCACACAAACACAAAGACCCTATTACCTGTTGCACACCTGCACATTTAACGGACTGTGGGAAACAAACCGCCCTGTATCAGAACTCAGCTCTGGTTCTGGTTCTGACAGCTCTTCTGTGTTTGTGTCTGCAGTGGGTCTGGATGGTGCAGGTAAAACCACTTTGCTCTACAAACTGAAGCTGGGCAATGTGATCGCCACCATCCCGACCATTGGTGAGTGGTTCTGACCTCTGACCTCTTCCTGTGTGACCTCAGAGTAAAAGAACTGCAGCCTGTGTTTCCCCATTCAGGTTTCAACGTGGAGACGGTGGAGCACAGAAACATCAGTTTCACAGTCTGGGATATTGGTTATCATCACATGACCAGACCGCTGTGGAGACATTACTACGCCAACACGCAGGTACAATGACTGCAGGTGTCAAAGTACTTGTGAAGAAAAGTTCAGTCACTTTGATGCATCCATGAGAAAAGTATTTGGCTTCAAAGCCAGTAGTGCCATAATATTCCATTCACAAAGTAAAACTGTAATATGCTCATCTTACTTGTGATGTAAACTGGTATTTTGTCTGTGTCATGTGTGAAGAACATGAGAGGAAACAGAACTACTGCATAAAACAGAAAGTGAATTAGTACTTTAGACTATACCTGAAAAATTAATTTAGGGCAAACTTCAAGTGCTAAATGAAAAGTCAGCTCTGTTATGAGTGCATTAGAAGAAGTTCACTGGCTAGCAGAGTGTAATAGGATTTTCTGTGAGGTCACAAGGTTATGAAAGTCAGCTAAGATTTTCAAATATTGCAGCTCTAATTTGTAGTGTTGCTATAAATTAAATTGATGTTACAAACATATTTAATATTTGCTGTGTTTGTCTCCAGGGTTTTATTTATGTGGTTGACAGCAGCGATTCAGAAAGGATTAAAGAGGCCGCGGAAACGCTCCTTATGCTGGTGAGCTTGTTTGCAACATAAAACTCAATAAAGTTAAATAAATGCATTTAGCTGAACCGAAGATACAAACGGCTCCCAAGGTCAGAAGGGTTGTTGACCTCTGGCATTTTGTTAAACTAAATATCTGTTCAAAATCATCTGGAGTGATCTCATCTCAGTCTTAAAGTAGGAGATTATTTCCAGATTTTAAATCAAATTATAAATCCTGATAGATGTAGTGTCAATGTAAACACAGTAACATGAACCAGAGTATTAGCTTACAGGCTAAGAGGCTAACGACATGACGTAGCTACTGATTTATTCGCTATTTAACATTCATTCCTGTTGTCAAAGTGATGAAACTTAACCTGGACATGAATGAATACCACTGTGAAGATAACCACCAGTCAGCAGGCTCTCTCTCTTTCTCTCTCTGTCATCTACATCTGTTAGATAGCCCCTCTGGTGGGCACATCGAGAGATTACACATCGTTACCTTGACAACAGTAACACACAGACTTTTTACACAGTAACTCTTGTGTTTGTCCTGCAGCTGGAGGAGGATGAGCTGAGGGACGCTCCGGTTCTGGTTTTTGCTAACAAACAGGACTTACCTAGAGCCATGTCGGTCGATGACATCACACAGGCTCTCAGCCTATCAGGAGTCCGGCAGCCGGTAGGTACTTCCTGTGGTGATCAGAAATAATTTGGACAGGCGGTCTCATATTTACACTGAGGCCAGGTATTACAGGTAGAGAGCGACCTTTGACCTGGTGTGTGTCCCTGCAGTGGTTCGTCCAGTCGTCCTGTGCCGTCAGCGGCGCCGGTCTGGTGGAGGGACTGGACTGGGCTCTCCGACCGGATCCTGAAGAAGTAGCTGCTGCTGAGATGCTCTGATTTCTGACGTTCCCACTGAGTCTTTGAAGGCACCAGGCGGCCGCTGGCGCCGTTTACCTGGAGAAACCTGAAGGATCTTCTGTAAAATGTCCAAACCTTAAAAACTATTGCACTTTTTCTCTGGAAAGAGACAACCAGAAACTAATAGTTTTTTTTTTTTCTTTGAATTTGGGTTTGGAATAGTTGAGATATTTGCATATTGCTGTAAGATTTCATATTATTCTGATGGTTTTTGATTCTTCCTATAACATTTTCATTACAGTCACCAGTTGTTTATTTTGGGTGCTTTTACAACAGGTTTTTGATAAATAAAATATGCCTCACTGTGCTTTAATTTTCTGCAGATATTTATACTAATGTTTTATTAAACTGTATTTATTGTGGAAACCAAATGTTGATATCATTTGATAAAATAAAAGCCAGAAGAAGCAAAATCCTTTTGTCTTATTTTGACAGACTGGACTGATAGTTGCACAAGTATGACTGTAAAAAAATAAATAAGAAGTCATCAGTTTTGACCAAATTTAAGTTTTTGTTTTTTCATGTGTTTTATGGTTTGTTAGTCGAGACTTCCAACTAAAGTAGACAATCAGAAATGTCTAACTTATCTCACACAGTGTTTACATTTTTAAAAATGATAAAAGATTTTCCATACTAACCGATTTAACTCCAAATTTTCCCAGACATTAAAATCAGATGTCATTTATGTTCGTCCGAAATAATACGGGGAAATAATTTTAAAAATTGTGAAAAAATATATGAAAATTATGATTGGTCACAATTGTGACCAGTGGGATATAAAAGTACACAAAGATTCAACTAATTTATTGACTTCAATAAAGTTGTATCTTTTTTTAGTTTATTACTGAGCAAATAAAATAAAAAGGGGCACAAAATGTTTGCTTTAAAAATGTTAAAAATATAATTATTTGGTGCCTTGTGCTTTCAACTGAACATTTGGGAAGTTTGTACACCTCTTGTCTAAACTTTAATAAATAAATAAATTGCTATTATTAATTTAAGAATTAAACAGATAAAAGAAACTCATGAGATGTATCTTTGATTTTTTTTAAACGACGAATGATGTGTGCCTTTATTGTGAAGGTAGGCAAACCGGAAGTGAGGTCATGAAGCGCCTCGGAGTTTCCCAGTGATCCAGGTTTTGTTTACGCGCTTCCTTCCACCGTGGATTGTGCTGACAGCTGCTGAGATGAAGCCGTGGATAAGAGCAACACGCCCACGGGAAACACGGGAAACAGCCAAACCTGAACCCGGACCCGAACCCGTACCCGAACCTCCGTCATGGGAGCCATCATTTCACAGATCCTCTCCATGTTCCCCTCAAAGTCTCCCGTCAGATTTTAATGGGTGAGTTTTGGTTATTTAACGTAATTCTGGCTGTAAAACTGTGGTGAATTCTGGGAAAGCAGATACTGTCGGCCATCACATATTTATTCATTAAATAAACGCAGGGCCGGCCCCAGCCTCCATGGGGCCCTCAGTGAAATCTGGTTTTGGGGGCCTCCAGTTCTACTAACAATGTGGACCGGCTGCAATCAGCAGCCCGATCATTAGATCTTTCACACACCTGCTGTAAACTTGTTGCATCTCTGGCAGCGCTGTTTACATCATGTACATGAATAATAGGAATACATTTATTGGCCAACTGATTTATCGACCAGTTGATTTCTCTGAGACGATTTCCTTAGTTTTGGAGGATCGTGATCTGCTGATACTTACATGTGAAGCTAATCTTATCCCTGAATGCATATGTGGATCGGTTCTGGGTCTTTAAATTATTCTAACAGAACTTAGAAGTTGATGTATAAATAATGTTTCTTTTAGCCACAAAGTGATCAGCAGCAAACATTATGCCTCCATCTACAGCATAGAGCAGCTCATCATGCTGCAGCCATGCAGCCTGACGTAAAAACATTTTGATAGACAATGTCAAACATTGACAAGTTTTAATTATTGTTATCAAACGTTATGAAACACCTCAGAAATATACAGAGGCACCATGAGAATCAACTGAAAGTTTAAACTCAGTTTCACACAAACACAAAGACCCTATTACCTGTTGCACACCTGCACATTTAACGGACTGTGGGAAACAAACCGCCCTGTATCAGAACTCAGCTCTGGTTCTGGTTCTGACAGCTCTTCTGTGTTTGTGTCTGCAGTGGGTCTGGATGGTGCAGGTAAAACCACTTTGCTCTACAAACTGAAGCTGGGCAATGTGGTCGCCACCATCCCGACCATTGGTGAGTGGTTCTGACCTCTGACCTCTTCCTGTGTGACCTCAGAGTAAAGAACTGCAGCCTGTGTTTCCCCATTCAGGTTTCAACGTGGAGACGGTGGAGCACAGAAAATCAGTTTCACAGTCTGGGATATTGGTTATCATCACATGACCAGACCGCTGTGGAGACATTATTACGCCAACACGCAGGTACAATGACTGCAGGTGTCAAAGTACTTGTGAAGAAAAGTTCAGTCACTTTGATGCATCCATGAGAAAGTATTTGGCTTCAAAGCCAGTAGTGCCATAATATTCCATTCACAAAGTAAAACTGTAATATGCTCATCTTACTTGTGATGTAAACTGGTATTTTGTCTGTGGTCATGTGTGAAGAACATGAGAGGAAACAGAACTACTGCATAAAACAGAAAGTGAATTAGTACTTTAGACTATATCCTGAAAAATTAATTTAGGGCAAACTTCAAGTGCTAAATGAAAAGTCAGCTCTGTTATGAGTGCATTAGAAGAAGTTCACTGGCTAGCAGAGTGTAATAGGAGTTTCTATGAGGTCACAAGGTTATGAAAGTCAGCTAAGATTTTCAAATATTGTGCAGCTCTAATTTGTAGTGTTGCTATAAATTAAATTGATGTTACAAACATATTTAATATTTGCTGTGTTTGTCTCCAGGGTTTTATTTATGTGGTTGACAGCAGCGATTCAGAAAGGATTAAAGAGGCCGCGGAAACGCTCCTTATGCTGGTGAGCTTGTTTGCAACATAAAACTCAATAAAGTTAAATAAATGCATTTAGCTGAACCGAAGATACAAACGGCTCCCAAGGTCAGAAGGGTTGTTGACCTCTGGCATTTTGTTAAACTAAATATCTGTTCAAAATCATCTGGAGTGATCTCATCTCAGTCTTAAAGTAGGAGATTATTTCCAGATTATAAATCAAATTATAAATCCTGATAGATGTAGTGTCAATGTAAACACAGTAACATGAACCAGAGTATTAGCTTACAGGCTAAGAGGCTAACGACATGACGTAGCTACTGATTTATTCGCTATTTAACATTCATTCCTGTTGTCAAAGTGATGAAACTTAATCTGGACATGAATGAATACCACTGTGAAGATAACCAGCCAGTCAGCAGGCTCTCTCTTTCTCTCTGTCATCTACATCTGTTAGATCGCCCTCTGGTGGGCACATCGAGAGATTACACATCGTTACCTTGACAACAGTAACACGCAGACTTTTTACACAGTAACTCTTGTGTTTGTCCTGCAGCTGGAGGAGGATGAGCTGAGGGACGCTCCGGTTCTGGTTTTTGCTAACAAACAGGACTTACCTAGAGCCGTGTCGGTCGATGACATCACACAGGCTCTCAGCCTATCAGGAGTCCGGCAGCCGGTAGGTACTTCCTGTGGTGATCAGAAATAATTTGGACAGGCGGTCTCATATTTACACTGAGGCCAGGTATTACAGGTAGAGAGCGACCGTTGACCTGGTGCGTGTCCCTGCAGTGGTTCGTCCAGTCGTCCTGTGCCGTCAGCGGCGCCGGTCTGGTGGAGGGACTGGACTGGCTCTCCGACCGGATCCTGAAGAAGTAGCTGCTGCTGAGATGCTCTGATTTCTGACGTTCCCACTGAGTCTTTGAAGGCACCAGGCGGCCGCTGGCGCCGTTAGTAAAACTGTCGCACTTTTATATTAATATCTTATGAAACTTTGTATTTATGTGAAATCTGAATGTCGATTATTTGCTGATAGATTTTATTTTGTCCTTGCTGGTTTTCTTGTGTCAAACATTCAACATTTTGCATTTCCAATCAGATGTTTCTTTTATTGTTTTTACAAATTTGATGGTGAATTCATGAAAAAGGAGAAAAACAAACCAATGTGCTTTATTTTTCAGAATATTACACTAATTTCTTGATTTGTATTTATTGTAAAATCAATAAATTATTTACTAAGAGATTTTATATTGTCAGTAATAAAGTTTTCTTGCTTCTCTACAAAACTTTGTGCACCAACATATTTTTGGTTGTTTATAGAAATTAAATACATTTTAAAAATTGCAAATAAACAGATCTGCTTTATTTTTCTACATGCATTTCATTGTGTTATGAAACTGTATTGATAATAAAATCGGAATGTCAAATATTTGCTGAGGTTTTTAATTCTCCTTGATGGTTTTCTTGTTTTTCACAACCAGATTTTTTTTGTTTATGTTTTTACAATTTATATGGTAATTTCATAAATCAAATTAGAAAAATTAACAGATATGCTTTTGTTTTTTGCAGATAGTTAGGCTAATATCTTAATTAGTATTTATTGTGAAATTTGAATGTCAGAATAATATGAAAGATGGAAGTAACCGAGTCATTGTGTCTTTATTTTAACAGACTAACAGCAAAGCTGGGATGTAAATAATAGCAACCAGCTTTAATGTCCACAAACTTTTTGTCCATTTTCTTCATCCCGGCTGGGGAAGGTGAACCTCCAACCAAGGAAATTTAATCTAAAGATACTTGACATGAAATTTAAATAGATAAATAAATGTAACGAAAATGAAATCTCAATAAAATACATTTAAGTTTTTCTTTGAAATGAGACAAAAACTTAAAAAGGTGAAAATATTGAATCCTTGCATCATTTAAAAAACAAACATCAAAAACAATTAAATTTGACCAAAAACCAAAAGGTTAGAATAGAAAATGCTGACTCAGATGGGTGAATGTTAGTGCTTTATTTAAATCACCGAAACCTTTTCATTATTCATCATCATCATCATCATCAGGGGACACAGATCTGCCCTGATGTTATTTACAGCTTTATTATCAACTGTCGAGTTTTTCTGCATCTCCTTCACTTTAACGCACAGTTAGAAAATACCTCTCCCCTTCAAAATCAAAGAAAAACTGGAAAAAGTCAAACAAATACAATTAAGTCTCCATCTTAACCTGTAATTACGGTTGGATTTCAAAAGCCTGTGAAATCCTGCGGTCCAAACATTGTGTGTGATTTGGAAAAATTAATCTTAATATTTAGATTTTCAACATGAATCAGTCCCAGCTCATATGAAACAGTGGAAATAAACCAACACCAGATCAATAATAATAACAATCAAAGTCTGACTTTATGACACATTATGCTGAAGAGTTTGGTGACGGTTGAAATTTTCATTAACATGTGACCAAAAGTAAGAAAAAGGATGAGAAATTTCTGCTTGTGTGAGAAACAAAGTTGTTGTTTTTTTAAAGTAACATTAACATCTGAAATGTAAGGGAATCTGAACCAACAGGTTTTCACTTCATAACGGCTTAAAATGTTGGCAGCTGAACTGAGAATGGGTTGAAGAAAACACAAAAATAGGAGGGAATAAATAAAAAAATACACAGATTAAGCTGTTTACTCCCTCTTTTCTGTAACTGCTGACTTCATAGTTTTCTGATATTTATGTTGAAGAAAAGAAATCTATCAACAGATTCTCCAGCTGCAGAATTTCTTATTTCTACGAGTTTGCAGTAAAATTTTCAACAAAAAAAAAAAGGAAATTATCAAAAAACTGCTTTTAAAACAGCAGCAGGTTATTAACCTCAAAATAAAACATCAGTAACCTAATGCAATGTGGCTGTTATGTTTTAAAAACAAATAAAATTACATTTAATCAGAAGTTTTGTGACAATTCAACAGCTGATCTGTTCACTGCAGAAACATCAGATCTCATCAGGAATATTTGTTCTGGTTTCTACTGTAGAAATCTGCAAACTTGAAAAAAGATTACACTAACTTACAAGTAAGTAACTTTTCAGAAAGGTATACAAGCTTGTTTTAAGTCAATAATTCCTTGATATTGATTAAAAAGATTAATTCACCAATAACACGAGGGACATGTCTTGTTTTAAGTGAAATAATCTACCATTAGAATTAAAATATTTTCACTAAAATCTGGACCAAAGACACTTTGTGAGATTTTGTGTTTTTGCAGTGTTTACATTTGGGAGTAAGGTTAAGGATTTAGTCTTTAAATAGACCGTCTTCTTTTAGTGCTCTGCCTCTTGATATTTAGGGTTTTAGAAAATCTTGGCACCTTTAAATGTTTTTTCTTCTTTTTTTTTTTACAAGGAGATGTTTGAAGGAAGCAGTGCAAAGCTTGGATGTTAGTCAGAAGCTTAATGCAGTCAGGTAGTAATTTATCCTTTCAGTAAGTGCCTGACAGACAAAACACAGGGTTTAATAAACATGGCAGTGTTTAAGAGCTGAAGGTGAACTTTCATTTAATAAAGAAACGCGTTAAGTTTTAATAATCGTCCCAGAGTTACAGACAAACCTGGTAGAGATCTGTAAAAACGGAAACTAATTTTTGTTGCTGCAGCAAAATCTCACAGGAAAATAAATGTTCTGGATGATGGTGTAACTGTTGCAGAAGCCTCATGTAACAGGGTTTCTCCGCAGTAGTAAATTAAATTAGCTCAAATTAAGGCCAGTAGAAGGTTGTAAAAGGTAAATAGAATTTGACTTGGTAGTAAATTTTTCAAAAAACATTTCATGATCCCTTCAATTTATTTAGAATTTTAATTTGATGCTGACTTTTTGTTTAACGATAAAATCTGTATTAAAAGTTATATCTACTCCCAGGACCTGGGCTGAGGCTGACAGACTCGATTGGTTTCGCTGTCCGATCTGCTGTGTGCGTAACGTTGGAAGTGCTCAACGTGTTGAGAAAATATACGTTTTCACGACTTTACCTGGATGGCCAGGTGACAGAGAAGCACGTTGTAAAATATGCAGAAATAAATATGATCAAACCAAACCGAGCGGAACATCTGCCGTTCATTAGCAGCGGATTCCTGTGAATCGGATGGAAAGTAGGAACTTTTTTACATATGGGACTGCATGATGGTCCAACCCTTCTGGGTTAAAGCGATGGATTTGCTGAGTAACTGGTTGGATGTAACCGTCCCAGTGACACCAGCCCTGTGCCAGTTAGGAGAAAAAATAACAATGAAAATGGGCAGGGCGGTAAAGTGGAGCTGCACAGATCACTTCCAGCTCAGACTTGGGGGTATTAATGTATTTAGTGGCCGCAGACTGTTTTCTTTCATAGCGCACTCTCACTGTGTGTTATTATTACCCCAGCAACACTTGCCCTGCAACACTATAGAATGATGTCATCAGCAAGTCAGTTAACACAAAATTCATTTGGACGTTTTAGCTCAGTTCAATAAAGACGAGTGACGAAAGCTCACAGAGCGAAGTGGATCTGAGATCTAAAGTCTTTTTGGAAAAAAAAAGTTCTCCAAAAAAATCCATCCTGGTTTAAGAAGCCCAGATTAAAGACAGAGGAACTTTCTCAGCGAACGTCTTTGGAAAGGGATTGAAAAAGCTTCAGACTCTACATCTTGTCAGAAAAACATTTCAGGAACAACACAGCGTTCTTTGTTAGACAGATTTATCAGTTCAGTCATAGATCTAGATATGCCGCTTCAAAATGAAGCGCACCGACCCTGTCCACAAAAAGCTGGATCCAAAACTCTGGGAAGAAGTAAAAGTGAAAAAAAAGTAAAGAATTTGTCTTTTTCGACGAGATGGAAAGAAAACTGCTGACACAGAATTCAACTTCTCTGTGGCGATGATGATGCAGTTAGGGAAATGATGTTTACGATGATAAAGAGCGATGAACCAATAGAAACAATACAGTGTTTCAGACAAGTCAGAAAAAACTAATTTACATGTAACTTTTTAGCAAGATATCAAAGCTTGTTTCAGTAAATAATTTCTGAAAATATATTTTTTCCACATTATAAGTAAAACAATCTGCCAGTGTAACTAGTATATTTTTTTAACCAATATCAAGGAATTACTGACTTAAAACAAGCTCTTCTAAGTTGCTGGAAAGCTACTTGTAAGTTAGTACGCTTGAAAAACGATAAAACTAAGATATTTGCAGTGGAACCGGAACAAAAATACTTGGTGAGATTTTGTGTTTTTGCAGTTCAGAGTGAGATGTTGCTGCTGCAATAAAGGCGTGATTCATTTCGACACATAAAACGGCTTTTTACACGTCTTCACCAGGTGTGCTGACAAATCTGTACATGCATTGAGTTTTTCAAAATATAAGAAACTAAGGTGAATCAAAACGCCACAGCGCCTGGATGCAGGATGCCAGACGACAGGAAGGCCTTTTCAAAATAAAACTGTGCTTTCCCTCTTCTTCTTATGCAGATGGAGTCATCATGAGGTGTCCTGTTGGAGAAACGGTTCGAATCTCCTGCTCCTTCATATCCGGCTCCTCGCTTTTACTTGAACGTTAAAAACAGAAACTTACCGATAATCTAAATACGGAGCCAGTATAAAAGCAGCGTCTTTGTTTTGTGTTTCTTTCTGCACAGAATAAAAACCGTTTCCTCTTGGCGTAGAGGTGCATTGGGTTTTTAGGATCGCACTGTCCGTTTTCAGTCTGATTACTCAGCTGTTTGAAAATCGCCAGTCAGAAATCATCCGGGAGCCAAAAATGACGCCTGCGCCGCCAGCCGTCAGGCTTCCGACTCACCCCGCTTCTTCCCCTCCTCCCCGACGTCGCTCTCCTCTGATTGGCTGCTGCTGAGCACCAGGAACTGTCCGTCAGGCGCGGGCAGGTTGGCAGGGCGACTGGAGGCGGCGATCAGGCGGCTCTGCTCCTCTAAGTCCTGCAGTTCAGGTCAGGGAGAAAATAAAAGTTGCTGATAGTGAAAGCAAAACTAAAGTTACAACAATCTGTCCATGTTAACTGCAAAAACATCTTAAATATGACAATTTATAATTTAGAAGTAACTTCAGCAAAAAATAGGCAGATATATAAGTCAATGATCCTAAAGTAAAATTTTAAAGAGGCACTAAGTCCAAATTTTTATCAAAAAATAACTCATTTTACTTGAGTAGCCAAAATTATTTTTGTTCTCTTTCCACCTCTGCTGGTATGTAGAAACACTGATAAACCATTTGATCTTTTAACGTCTGAAAACCTTTTTTTACCTTCGGCATCATCACAGTCTTTCCCTTTGAACAAATTAGAAATTGTTCTCTGCACTTTTATCAGGTTTTAATTTCACTTGAATCAAAAATTCACTGTCCCGCTGTGTTTTCCTGCTTTTTATTTTAAAGTCTATAAATGATTTGCGGTTTATTGTTCATCCTGTCCCAGAGCAAACGCCGTTTTTTATGTTTGTGGACCACCTGTGTAAAATGCCCCAGTTCATAAATCAAACGCACCAATCGGATCTTTTACCGGTACTCGGTCCCGGTAGTTTACCTGACTATTGTTTATTGATTCTCTCTGTCCTCTGGCAGTTTTACCTTTTCGATCTGCCTTTGCTTGTTGAGCTCCTCCTGCTGTTTCTCTTTGGCCTTGTCCTGCTCCTTCTTCTTCTCCACCACTTTACTTTCCTGAAAAACAACGATAAGTTTACCAGAACTGAACCACTGGACGAGAGAATCAGCTTGATTCAGACTCACCATCTCTGAGTGGAATGCTATCTGCTTGGCCAGACCGATGCTGTCGCAGATCTAAAAACAGAAATCTGGCTCAGAATTACCATGATCAATTTTGCAAGATGATAAACTGTCCCAGAAGTTATCACGATAAACAATAATATTGTAGCTTTGCGCCCATTTTCATGAAATATGGTAATGACTGGGAGTGCAGCAATTTATGGACCATCTGATTTCCTCTCATTTTGGGAGATCAGTGATTGGCTGACGCTTACATGTAAAGCTGATCTTATCCATCAACCTTTCCTACCTCAGCAAAGGTCTAAAATTCGACCTTTGTCCTCTGTTGCTCTCCCATCAGAGAGGACCGACAGACTGGCCCACCAGGTCATGTCTGCACATGTAAAGTTAACAATAATCGCCCGATTGTTGACAACTCAGCAACATTTCAGTCAAAAAAAAAAAATCGGAATGGGGAGGTCAGACTTTTTAAAAATTGTTAATCGCCGATCAGTCAAAAGGTCCAACTGATGCATCTCTAGTAATAATGGCCTAACAGAAATGCAAAGAACACATTCTCAAATATCAATAAACTTTAAATTCTACTGAACATTTAATACTGGAAGATTTACATATAAACACAACTGTCCTTCAAAACAAGAGACCAGCTGAGACCAAAGCAACAGACTGAAGACTTTTGTCATCCAGTTTTTGGGAAAGAGTCAAAAGAGAAAAACAATAAATCATACAAATGGAAATAACTCAGATCCTTTTTATTTATTATGTGAATAATTGATTTTAGTGACAGAACCAGAACCTTCTCTCCATCGTTGTTGGATTCAAAGATGTAGCAGACGACCCGAGAGTCGCCTCGGCCGCCGGCCGCCTGCAGGACGAAGCCGAAGAGCCGCTTGTTGTCCTGGTGGGACGCGCACTGGACGACGCTGGAAAGCGGGAACTGCAGCGGGTCAGAGGACAGCGTGAGCAGAGATGGGAAGACTTTGACTAGGACAGGGGTGAAGAGGAAAACTGGGAGCAGCTTACCCTGAGTCGAGTGACCTGCGTCTGGGGATCAATGAGTCTGGAAGACAAAGAGTTCAACTTTAGGTGAGAGTAGAAAAATGGAAATAACTGTTTTTTAAAGTTTTTATTCATTAATTTTTCATAATTTTACTTTTCACTAATTTATTATTCCTTGATATTAAAGTTGTCAATGTTAATTCATTATAAGTTGGGATATAATTTTAATTAGGGCTGAACAAATAATTCAATCAATCGCAATTATGGAAATAATCCTCAACTAAGTTAGTAATCGATTAATCATTAAGTGGAATATAGAGACTCAAAAAAGGGTAATTTTCTGAAAAGAGCAGAAATAAAACCAAGACCATTCACAATACATGTTCATATTCCCTAAAGAAATGTTATAACTTGTTTATTTTAAAAAGAAATTACATTTGTTTATTTTAACAACTTAAAATTAATATTGTATCAAAACGATTGCAAGGTTAAATAAAAAAATATGAAGAATGGACAACTGTTTTTATCTGACTAAGCAATACACTAATAAATTACTAAAGTAATAAAATAGAAAAAGGTGAAGCTTTAATGTAAGTATGATTATTTAATTTCTAAAATACACCTGATGTAGGTCACTGCATGTTAATATATATTTCCAAGTTCAGTTTCAGAAGAAAGCAACATTATTCTTTAGGGCTGAAACAATAAATCATAATTTACTGATTATTGAAACAATCATCAACTAATTGATTAATTGTTAACAAGAGAACAAACTTAGAAAAAGACTGAAGCAGAAATACAAAACTGTACAAATATATGTTTACATTCTGTATTTAAGATTAACAAAATAGTTTGCCTGTTTTATGGCGTCAGTTTTAGCTACGTTTTCTGTTCACTGCTAAAATATTTACAGTTTACAGAATATTTAAAACAGATTGTCCTTAGTTTCTTTTATAAACAAAGGGATATCTAGTTACTGAAATCATGTCACTTGCTCTCGTGAAGTTAGCATCATTTGTGGCCTTGTTTTGTGAGCGACATGCTACGTTTCCTCGCCCAAACGAACAGAGGCTGTTGTCGTTACTTGAGGCAGTCGCAGGTGACCAGCAGGTGAGACTCGGTCATCCTGAAGATGTTGTGGATGGCTCTGGCGGCTAAGATCTGCCTCATGGTCTCCGATATGACGTCTGCTGACTCGGCGGTCTTCACCTCCATCGACCCGAGGAACCGAACGATGAACAGCTGGTGGAGGATCGAATCTGGACCAGAAAACGGCTGCTTGTCTTCAACTACTCAACTTGATTTGTGCTGACATTTTAATGAAGAAGCAAAACTTAAACCAAACTTTTTTTCACATGACACAAAATCGTCAAGTCAAAAGTGCTGGCTATCCAGAAAAAAATAAAAATAAAATACAATCAAGTAAATAAAGTTATCCGATTCCTTTTGTCTTTTTTTTTTTTTTTTTAAAGGTTAAAGTTATTCATCATAGATCCAAAAAGTAAAAAGAATTTTGATGTATTGGCATAAAAGTATCTAGTTTTCCAAGTTCTTTTTAGACATATTTCTTCTCAATTATAAGAAAATGATTAGTTATTTCAAAACGTTTAAAAATACATTAAATAAAAAACAAATTTGGGTTTTTACTAAAAGTCTCTAGATAGACGCAATTCTTATTATAAAAACTTAGTTATATATTTTTGTCATACTTAATATTTTCCATTGCAAGAAAACTGTTTGATTAAAAATACAAAGTTTAATAAACACATTTGTATCATTCTTGAACTGCAGTTGGGGGCCACAAAAAATGTTTCAGAGGCCCTCAAATGATCCACAGGCCGCACTTTGGACACCCCTGCCTTACATTATTAATTAACTGCTCAGAATTTAAACTTATTGGGGATAAAATATACAAGTTCAATGTTTCTTTCTAGAAACTTTAATGAGCAACTTTTAAGCAAAAGCGAAACTTTATTATCATTAACTATTTAGCTTTATTTCTGGCTCCATAATTGTCCAATTCTGCACAGCAGAGGCAGAAAAATCAAAGAAACATTTCATCTTAAGGTGATGCTGCTCATTATTACCTGAGTGGTAATAATGAGGTTCTAACAAAAGAATAAATGTAAATTCTGCAGGTAAACAGGAAGTACCTTCACTGTCCTCCGCCGAGTTATCTCCAGATTCTCCAAACGGATTACTCCTTCTGCAGAAACACGAGCAGTCGTGTTCAGAGATAAAGTATTTCTACTCTTACACAAGTAAAAGTAGAAACACTTTATAATAAAATTACTCAAGTAAAAAAATACAGCACAGTAAAAATACTCCTAAAAGTTTTTTCAGAAAGGTTACTCAAGTAAAAGTAACTAGTTACATTTAGAGCTTGTTCCAGCATTTGAAGTACCCTGATTTATGAGTAACTTCTTTCTCATCATCTGCTCTGCATCTGGGTGTATTAGGTCTTTAACACGTTTCCAAAGACTCCATTGGTGTTGATTAAATAATTCTGGAGTGTTTTTGTGCTCTTGTACTTAGAGCCTGATAAAGATCAGACATTGTTCATTAAATCTACTTTACGTCATAAGAAATCCCTGTGAGTGTGAGTGAGGTGGAATAAAAAGGTTCTGTCAGACACCTGCCGGGCGGTGCTGCCGTCTTGCTCTGACCCGACATCTCCTCTGTCACGGGGGAGATGATGTCAAACTGGATGGGCGTGTCCGGAGCAACCAGCGCGTCCAACGAGAGGACAGACAGAGCGGGCGACGGCTCAGAACCGACTGAGCTGATGCTGCTGGTTCGACCCGTTTGGCCCTTACTGGAATGGAGAGAACAGACGCAGTGATCAGACTCACCAGCAGGGGGCAGCCTGCTGGTTTCCCATCGCATGGCCTCACCTGCTGGGTCTCATGCTCTCATGTCTCTGCTGGAACGACGGTGATGGCGTCACCGCTTCCAGGGCGGTTTGGTTCACTCTGGCTGCCAGTTCCTACAAGAAACACAGCTGCTCTTAAATTTCATTTCCAAGTTTTAGAAAGACACTGAGGTAGAGTCGTGACAACCCAGTTCAGACAGTCAGGTTATTTCTCCTCTGAGAGCCAAACCTGGTCAAAACTTTTATTCTGTGATGACTGGATTTAGCTGTGTGTCAGGGCAGGACAGTGTACTAAAAATCCTTCAAAAAGATTTTTTTTCCTAAAAAGTTGCTCAAGTAATTGTAACTGGAAACTACTTTTCATTCCAAAAGCAACAACAGTTTTTATCAATAGTTTGTGAAGGCAGTTCTCTTCAAACTGAGCAACATTTAATTTTTATTTAACATCGTGAGTTGCTCTGTTCTAATAGAGCTGATTAAAAATGAAACGCTTGTGAAACAGAAAACACACCTCTGCGTTCTCGCTAAGGTAGATCCTTCTGGAGATATTGTTGATGGTTGCGATCCACTGTTGGAGGAAGCAGCAGAGACTCGGCGTCAGAAAACATCAGCTAATGAAGAAGATGGATGACCGGAAATCATTTTACCTCCTCACAGTCCTTCCTGCTCTCCGCCTGCAGCGTCACGACTCTGACGGTACAAAGACAGAACGAGTCGTAGATAAATTAAAAACTCATGAGAGCGATGGAAGGGAAAGAAAAGCAGCAATCTCACTTTTTGCCGTCGAAGGACGTGACCTGAAAGCAGAATCTGCGGTCATCCGAGTCGACGGCCATGACTGAGCAGTTATCGAGATCCGTGACCAGGCCGCCCGCCACCTCGCCGCGGCCCTGCTGCATCAGGTTCCCCCCCTGCGTGAAGAAGTACTGACGTTCCCATGATGACGACACGAGGCCCGTCTTACTGCCGGACACACAGAGGAGTTGCGTTTAACTCCAAATGCTCAGGAAAACGGCCACAATCTGCCAAAACTGGCCCCTCCAGACTAGCGGCAGCAGCAATTAGCAAACATCTGGCATTCATCTCTGCATCCAGGACCAAATCTGGAGAAGCAGCATTCAGCTTCTATGCACCACTAATCTGGAACACGCTTCCAGAAAACTGCAAGACAGCCAAAACACTGAGTTCCTTTAAACCACAACTAAAAATCCAGATGTCAGAGTTGCTTCTGAAACATTATACATGAAACAACAATATGTTTGATGTATAATGATGATTTTAGCAACGGCATTTGACGAAATGTAATGTTGATAATTGGTTTTCACTTTTTAACTGCTGTGTGCCAAAAAATGCAGTATAAAAAATAAAGTTGATTGATGGATTGATTAAAGTCAATTAATCAGTCAATTCTGATTAAAATTATTACATCACAGTCAAAGTGGAAAAAAGCGACACAAATCCTTTCCCATCTGAACCTGTTACAAGGTAAAAGAAAACGGTTTAATGAAACGATGTTTTTTGGCCTTGGCCTTCAAATAAAACCCATCTGTGTTTATCCAAAATGAAAACACAGCAGATAAGATTATGACTGCCCATAAATCCTCTATGAACCCCTAAACTTTACATTTTAACTGAGAAACAATGAAAACACGACCCTCATAAAACAACTGCAGAAGAGTTAAAACACGCAGAAGGAGCTTGAGTCTTACTTGCGGATGTAAAGGTAGCCTTGCTTCCTGGTTAGATTGCGACAAATGGGCGACTGGGCGGGGTCAGGGTCACATGGTGCATACAGAGGGTCACATGACCTTTCCATCTGCTGGATGTTTTCCTGCATCTGTCCCACCTCCTCCTCCATCTCCCGGCGGACACTGCAGACACGTTCCACAAGTTTAGCTCTAAAAATATAGCTCCGAATTACGACGACAGTTCGAGGTTCTTACTTCTGGACGCTGGTTCCTATTGTTCCCAGGAAGTCCTCCCACTGCTGGGTGAGGTTTTCAGAGCCCAGCTTAAAGAAGCTGATCTGCACCCAACAACTTACTTTAAAATCAACAAGATGACAAGATATAAAACATTTTTTATCAAAAGTTTTTAACCCAGTTGTTAGGGACGGCTGCAAATAGCGTTTATTTTAGTTATCAAATAAAAAAATGATCACTTTCTGCAGACATTTCATCTAAATGCAAAATGTGTAATATTCTTTGTACAGTTTTGGCTTTATTACTGCTTTAACTGTGTTGTTCTTCCAGCAAATAGAGTCTGCATACTCCAGTTTCCAATTAATCGATTACTAAATTAGTTGACAATTATTTCAACCGATTCTTCACGATTAAAGGATGAATTGCTTCAGCTCTATAGGTACAATCCTAGAAGTTTTTTTCAGACCAACACTTCTCTTGCGCTCTCTGGTGGAGGATTGGTGTACGTCATGTGACACATACACCAGGAAGATGGAGCGCATCACCCCAGTTCTGGCAAATCCCAGCTTACATTGAGTCCTTTTTTGAAACTACAATTAGACAATTCAAATAGAAAAACTGACAAAAATTTGTTCATCTATAGTGACACCTTGATAGACAGAAATGTTCAATAGGTGCATGAGTTTTGCAATTATATTTGATCTAATTTGTTGTTTGTAAGAAGGCAGCTAGATAAATATATCAAAATAAAAGCTGCATGACATTAGAAAAAGCTAAATGCAGGAATACTGGTGAATGGTCCAGCGACAATGTGAGATGGTATAAGGGTGTGTGTGTGTGTGTGTGCGTGTGTGTGCGTGCGTGCGTGCGTGTGTGTGTGTGTGTGTGTGTGTGTGTGCGTGTGTGTGGGTGTGTGTGTGTGCGTGTGTGTGTGTGTGTGCGTGTGTGTGCGTGCGTGCGTGTGGGTGTGTGTGTGTGCGTGTGTGTGTGCGTGTGTGTGCGTGCGTGTGTGTGTGTGTGCGTGTGTGTGTGCGTGCATGTACCTGAGCCTGCATGTAGCCCAGTAGTGGCTCCAGCAGAGCCATCTTCTTCTTGTACTGCAGTGTGTTCAGGGCACAGAAGTAGTACAACATCGTCTGGTGCTGCTTCTTGCGTGAGGTGTAGACGTCCTCCACCACCTCTGCTCTAACCTGCAACAACAACAACATAAACTTTACCCTCTCATGGGATTTCTCTCTGCAGCAAAACCAATTTGCTTCCAGAAAAAAGAAATATAAAGACAGCTTTTTGGGAAAACTCTGGGTAGTCTGAAATCGGTTGTTAGAAGGGAATCGCAGGGTAAAAATGTTACTTTTGGTTGAGATGTCGATACCTTGTCATTGTCCCTCCTCTTCGACAGACGGCTGTATCTGTTAATTGCCGTGTCATGATCTACCAACAAAAGGAAATCGGTTTTTGTTATTTTTTATGCTGGAGTGTTTATAATATTACTACTTTATTCTTCTAATATTACATCTAAATTCTTGTAAAAGTATTAACCTGGCCCTAATATTTCGTCGCAGAATTAACCTGAATTTAATAAACTTATAAAACATGTTTGTCAAACAAGATGGCCGCCCTGGGCGTGCTGACATCACTGTGAACTGGAGATTTTTTTTAAATCTTCAACATTCAAAAATTTGATTAATTGATCAATTCTGAAACTCCTCTGACTCTGGAAAAACCGATTGGAAGGAAAAACCGATGAGTGGCAGCTTCACTGTCTTACCGTTGCTGGCGATCTGGAAGACTTCCTTCAGCGTGAGGATCTCTGGAAAGACAAAAAAACACCAGGAAGGTAAGAAAATATCCTCAAAACGTTTATTTGTGCTGATCAGAAATGTTAATTGCTTTGTTTTGCTTCCTGTAATTTTCTTGTGTAATTATAAATGATGCGTGATTTTAATTTTGTTAAATTTTAGGTTGAGTCTACTGATGAAAATTAGCTCAATTTATCCACATTTACATTATATGATGTTAATTAATGTTTCTCATGACAAATAAATACAGTTTAATTTGAGTTTTTGCCTTTTTTATGACAAACAGGATAACATTTCTGTGCCACATTTTAACTTCACAGTTGTTGCTCCGTTTGTAAAAAGTTTGGACACTTCGGCTATAAAGCTTCCAGATCTGCGAGATGACAGTGAGTTCTGATTGGACAGTTACGGTTTCCTACCCTTCAGGTCTCGCTCTTTGAACTGAGAGATGGGGAACATCATGGCGTCGGCCAGCTGGGTGGACAGGACAGCGTGACAGGAACTCAGCTGGACAGAGACAGGGATACTGGAAGTTAGGACACGTTCTGACCCGCAGTCCCATCTGTCCCAGAGCCAGGACTCACCTCATCAATGACCTTAGCAAACTGCTGCAGGGTGGAGCTCATCACTTCATCATCGCCCCCTAGAGGAAAACGCTGCAGCAGAAACACAGAATGATAGGTCAGGTAAATAACTTCAGTCAGACATGCAGCAGAATTAATCAGCAGCATGTCAGCATTGGTGCATTAAAACCAAAACATTTACCTCAGAAATAAAAAAAAAAATAAAAATTTATTGCTAAACTATAAAAAGTAGAAGTCTTTTGACTTTTGAAACTCAGAAAATAAAAATAAAAAAAATTAATTTACAAGTTTTATTCTGGGAAATATATCTATGTTTTATTAGGCCTTCGCAGCTAAATGCTGCGAAGGCCTATTGTTTTTTTTATTTATTTATTTATTTTTTTACATCTATCATGTTTTAAAGGGTGCTGGAACCACAGATCTCGTTAATGAAATATTTTCTATATTTGACCAGTTTTTTTTTTCCAGAAACATCTGAAGCCTGTCCATCATTTTGACAGAGTACAATTTACACCCCTGATTATACCACTGCTGCTGCTGCCTCTTTCTTACATTTCTCACTTAAAATGCTTCTGCAATTTTCACTCTGCATTTTTGCGGGATATGCAATTTTTTCTAATTATGACTATATTTATATAACATTTTGTAGCCTGGCCCTGAAACTCCAATAGGGGATTGATTGAAATAAAAACTGCTTTTTGGAAATATTTTCTGTCATTTATGACATCATTTTTTTAATGCATTAAAATAGGAAATAGGTTTTGGAATGAGAAAATCTAAGGTCTTATTTTGAAGCCTTATCGACCGGCCCTGCCAAACGTTTGCATTTTCCTGGTTTCTACCTGTTTGTCGTACTCTTTCAGCAGTCGGGAGGTCAGATGTGTCGCTGCACTCAGTTCATTCTGCAACACAAACATGAATCCCTGTGATGTTGAGGCTCCAACAGAGTTAAAGATGCATCACTCCTGCAGGTTTGTACCTGTGCATCATAAATCCTCTGCATGGCCTGATAGAGCTGTGAGCAGTAGTTGGAGATGGCGGCAGTGTCCTCCTCAAACACTCCCAGCAGGGAGCGCGTCTGCAGGCAGAAAGTAAAAAATGACAGGAGCAAGAGGGAAGTCAGCATGACACACAGGAGCTCAATGAGCGCTGACTGTGCAAATCCACAGCCACATCTGCCATCCCTCCCCACAGCACTCAAGGTGTGTCTCCACAATATTTCATTCACATCTTAGAATATCTTAGTTCCCTTGAAATAAGACAAAACTAACATAAAAGTAACTTTTCCGCAAAATATATGAGCTTGTTTTAAGTCAATAATTCCTTAATATCCATTAAAAGGTTCTAGTTCCATTCACAGATAATTTCACTTATAACAGGACATTCCCCATGTAATCAGTAAAATCATATTAGGATAATATTAAAGACTTATTGACTTAAACCAGTGTTTCTCAATTATTTTCTGTTATGCCTCCCTGGGGATCATAATTTTTTTTTCATGCAAAATATGAATGAGTTTCGTCTTATTTCAAGTGTACTAAGATAAACTGATAGACCTAAAATTACTTGGCAAGATTTTATGTTTTTGCAGTGCAGTATGCACAAATGTTTGTAGAAATGTCTTCTATTGGTGAAATATTTCCAAATCTGGTTGATGTTTTGAGTAGAAAGTCTTTCGTTGCAAAGTTTCCTAAACCAGTTTGAATTTTTTTTTTAAGCTCTGGTGAAACTGGAATAGAAAACACAGGTTTGTAATTCTCTTCTGTCACCAAGCTAGTTCTGGCTTGCTCTCCCCGCAGGTTGGACTCCTCCAGGGCTGCAACTAGTCACAGATCCAGTTTGTATTGTCATGGAAAGGCGATGGCTCTGTTGGCATCTCCAGGTCACGACATCCTCCATGTCTGATGACATGATGGTTCCCATACATAAAAAGGTGGACTGCTCAGAACGCAAAGGGGCAGCACTGTGTAAAACAGACTTTTCTGAGCTTTGCATCATGTTCTGAAGTTATTCTCTCATACAAAACATACCTGGAGTATTCCCTTGATTCTTTCATGCATGTTTGAAAAATGCTGTAATTGGAACGGTAATCTGTCCAAAACACCTAGCCCCGCCTTCATGGAGCTGCAGTTTCCAAGCTTCAGAGGTTCCAGCTTCACAAAGCAGAACTACTACTCAACTCCTTCAGACTAGCCAGCAGCAATTGGCAAACACCTAAAGGAACTGCACACCTGCTGAGCTTTACAAGCTGCTTCTCAGTGCAACGTTGGTAAAAACGTTGTTACAGGGTTAATAGAAGAGCGATGTGGTGACTTCCTGAAGGCATTGTTTCAAAAAGACAAGGGATTTTTAAAGAGACAGAGGCCCAATTTCTAGGAATTAAATATCAAAGTCATTTTTCTTATAGGTCAAAAACTGAAGGTACCACAGATAATTAATTGTGCTATGAAATGTCACTCTGTGCCTGTAAAACAAACATTACTGCATTACTGGTTAAACTGGGAGCTCTTCCTGTACAGGAGTGTAAAAATGAGCTGAGCAAAAAAAAAAAAAACATTACAAAACAAACCCATGATCTATTTATATATAAAGAATGGTTAGATTTCGTCGCATCAGACTCGATGCTGTCAGGAACGACAGTCTGCAGCCAACATGTGACGTCACAGCAGGTGTTTTGCCTCACATTTGCAGCAGGTAAGGGTTACAGTATCACCAAGCGGATTTTCATGCAAAAGTGACAGGAAGCCACCGGATGTCACTGATTTGTGACCAGTGGGTTGGCTGTCGTCCCTGGAAATGATGCGGGATTGGCTAGGGAAAAGGTCTCCTCTTCTGGCAGTTAGCTTTCTGATTACCGAGACGTCTTACCGGCATCCGGTGGTTTTATTGACAGGGCGGCCGAGTGGAACCAGGGATCAGCTGATGTATTCGGGTTACAGACTGCTAGCATTGAGCTGGAGCACTCTGCTGGGTGATGGCAGACACTCTTAGCCTAGCTAGCGGCTAGCGAACCATTAGCGGCGGTCCGAGGGAATCAACGGTTACCTGCGGACTGTCCTCCAACGTCTCCTCCAACGGCAGCTTCTCTATTCCGGGCATAGCCGCGACTGGCGCTTCGGGTATCGGAGCGAATTGGCAAAGAAAACACACAACAAATTGGCCCGACAACTCCCACTCAAGATTTCTTGGTTCCACGAATTCACAACACCCCAAATGAGCTCCTCCCGGTTCAACCTGGGCCCTGCCCACCGGAGGGATTGTGATTGGCTGGCACAGACTTCCGAGAATTTAATTGGCTTCTCGTTTAAATGGAAATAGGCGCCATTTTGGCTCAGAGTGGGCCTGTCACTGAAGACGGGAGCCACAATGGAGACCTCCATTTGTGAGAGAAGAAAAACGGCTGTTTGCCAATTTGTTCCCTCATTTCGTACCGTCCATCTTCAACGTTGTACGTAAACAAACCGCTTCGTACCCACGTACTTTACCATATTTATAGATTTATTTTTCGCTGGAGCTTTATGCATAATGAATTCACATTATCATAACAGTTCTGCAATCTCTCTCCTGGTCAGCAATAAAAACAGCTTTTGAGAACCAAGGTTCTTATTATTTGCTGAGTCAGGATTACGGACAAATAAAAGCTTAAACACAAAGAATAGATTGAATTTGTAGCATTTCACGGTAACCAAACAATTATAGTAAACTGTAAAATTACTATATTTGTCAATATCCAAGAACTATCATTGCTGAAACCATCAAATCAAACTTATTAATATTCTCACATATACAAATATATATTTCAGATTTGTGCTGTTTTTAAATTGAAGTAAACAGGGGAGTCTTCTGATGATCTTAGATTTTAGTGCTGGTCCCCTTTTAAAGCAGCTGATTCAAATATGACCCCAATCAAGATAATCATACATGACCTCACACTGGTATTTATTTATTCAAGTTATAAAAAATGAGAATATTGTGAAAAAGTTTATTAAAATCAATTATTCCATTCAAAATGTAAAATTTGTATATTATATTCATTCATTACATACAGACTGATATATTTCCAATGTTTATTTCTTTTAGTATTGATTATTACTGATAACTAATGAAAACTCCAAACTCAGTATCTCTGAAATTTAGAGATACTGAGGTGCAAAGTTTATTAACTCAAAACAACTGCAAACGCTTTTAAATGATCATCCCAGTCCAGTTCTGTAGGTCACATAATGACTGCTGACCTGACAGTTGTCCAAAAGACGTCCATTGACACTTTGCACAAGGAAGTCAAGTCACAAAAGGTCATTGCTAAAGAAGCTGGCTGTGCACAGAGCTCTGTGTTCAAAGTTATTCTCTCATTCAAGAGTATAGAGAGGTGAAGGGAAGAAAAGATGTGGTCAGAAAAAATTGGGTAAGAGATGAAGATAACTGCACCCAAAACCCATTCAAATATGTTGGGGAAGATTCACAAAGAGAAAAACCATGAAAAATCTTCAGCGACTCAAAAATGGTACACATTGCTACTGGTTAAGAAATCACATAAAACATGGTTTTATAGGCAGGATGCCCATAAATCCCGTCCAAAAGCCATTTTAAAGGCCACAGTCTGAACTGCAAAAATAAAGATATTCGTGACGTCATGCCTCATTGAACAACAGCATTCAGTGGCCTGAATAAATACATTTTTGCCATTTATAATACGTCTTAAAATGTTCTGCCAGGACTCTTGAGTATTTTTACGACATCCTGTTTTTTGTCATAACGTTTTAATCAGATGTGTGATAAAAGTAGTGATTTGTTGGCGACCAAAATAATAATAAATAACGTCGTGAATAAGGGTGAAATTTCTGTGAAAGGCCCCACAGCAGATAAATAAATATTACTTTGATTTTACTTCCTCCTAATTTTACAAAAATGATAAATAACTTGTTTGCTCGTGTAGTAAGATGGAAAAGAAGGAACGAAATAGTAAACTGACTAGATGTTAATTTTTCTAGTTGTGTTTTTATTGATTAATTATAGAGACACATATCTGGCGGTACGAAACGGAGAGATTCAGGAACAAACTTTCACCACCAGGGGGCGTAATTATATAACTCCAAGAAAAGTCAAAATATAAATTAAATTTTAAGCCATTTATTATTTCTATTTAACTCCCCTTCTAAATAATTAATTGATTGTGTTTTTGTAGGTTTGAATTCTACATAATTAGCCAGGAGCTTCTCCTTCTTCAAAAGAAATGTGAGGAAAAAGTCCGTCTGTTTTATCTGAGATGATCATGAAGTGGGAAAAATTCACAATACAAGATGTTGTGAATTTTGATTTTCTTATTGTATCTTGGGGCATAAAATCAGAATTGATTCCCCCCCAAAAATGGTGGTGATGTATGTTAGAGAACAACAAAACTTTGAAAGATTTCCAGAAAAGCAGATAAATAAGGGCTCCACCTGTGTATGGCAGGTCAGTGTAGCATATAATTAAATCGCGTGCTTAAGCGCTTGTCTCTTGTCACAAAAGTCGTATAAAAACCGAAATAATTTGAGGATATACTCGTGAAATTTGGAGAATGAAGTGGTAATTTTTATGAGAATTCAAACATTCAAGTTTGTTTTTTAATACATTGTGATATTGATTCGTCCTTCTGGAAAATTGTATCTTTATTCTGCTAATAGTATTATGACTATATTCTCGTAATTAAACAAATATTCTTGTATTCCATCATACAACTTGCAGAAGGGATAACTGAAATAAAAGCCACTTTTTGAAAATATATCCTGTCATTTGCAATTTATTTTCCATAAAAGAAAGAGAAAAAAAATACCAGAACAGGGCAAAGTACTTCTCGTGATAATGTCTTTGTGTTGAAGTAATACTAAAGTATTAAGGTCACACTAAAAATAATATTATGAGAATAAAGTCAGAATATTACGAGAATAGCCTCAATTAAGAAAATAAAGTCGAATAAATTTGGAAATGAAATTGTTACGAGAATAACGTTGAAATATTGAAATATTGAAATAATTGAAATATTTTATCTTAAAGACTTTATTCTCACAATATTGTGACTTTATTCTCATATTATTAAAACTTTATTGTCATATTATTTCGACTTTACTGTCGTAATATAACATTTTCAAATTTTTATTACATTTTTCTCGTACATTTCTTTTTCTTATCATGCCCTAATGCTCCCTTGCTTTTGTTTGCGCACATATCAATGTGTGTCTACTATATGACAATCTGTCCTGCCATACCTCTGTGGCTCGGCCTCAGCCGTGTCTCCACGTAAAAACCTGCGTGGGGACTCGGAGCTCAGAGTGGTTCTGGACCTGAGAGCGGAATGGCGGCTCCTCGGAGTTTCTTCTTCTCTGTCTGCGGGTTTTTTCTGCTTTTCGCCGCCGCATCCGGGACTTCAGGCTCCAGGCGAGCAAACCAGGAGCGCTGCGGCTACAAGGTAAAAAACTAAACACACAGAAAAATCACAAGTTTTCTATGTGTTTGGCAGCTTTCAGCGTTCAGTGGTGGAAAGGTTTGCTTGTGGAGAAGAGCGCGTCTCCCTACCTGTTTTTACCTGCTGCTGCAGTTTTTCAAATCTGGGACAGAAGACAAACTTCCTCAATGTTTCTCAAAATAATGAAGTTTAGATGTTTTTCAGTACATTTAAATGTTTATTAACAGCTTTTAGCCACATTTTCCAAACATACCAGCACTTAAACAGCAGCTACTCCTGAGAGTGATGTAAAATAAACCACCTGGTGTGTTTTAAAAACAATCTGTGTTTTTCTGCTGGATTCTAAAACCAGAACAAGCATTCTATTAAGTTGGGTTTTTTTTTGTCAGATTTTTCTGTTGGATATAAATGGTCAAAAAATAGAAGATTTTAGGTAAATTCGGTTAATCTTAAAACTCCTGTTATGCTTTCATGCTTCATGGAAATATAAACAAGTATCCCAGATTTTACATAAATAAAAAGACAACTAAATGAACAAAAATGAAAAAAAACTAGTTGGTTGATGATGGGTTAAGACACAAACAGGAAAAACTGTTTTAATTCTGCATCCATTTGGAATAATTTACTTTCAATGTGCTCTGAAACTCATTGGATACAGACATTTGTTTATTAATACTATTATTAATGTTTACTTTGATTGATTATTTGGGGGTTTAACACCTGACTCTTTCAGGTATGAAATGTTTGACCACAGATCAATTCCCAAGATAACTTTCTATAATATCTACGCTGCAGTGAATAAACGTGATTTTACGTTTACATGTCAGAGTTAATAATGGTTTAATTTATAGGAAATAATTTGGCTGTTTTAAAAATACTCAGTAAAATACAGCTAAGCACCAATGTCAGTGGAGATGGGAGTTTAAAACAATGTTTTCAAATACATATTATTAAATTAACATTATTATGACCATTTATCTCAGTTTTTAAAATAAAATAAACAGAAAATATTTATGAATGGATATTAATAACTGTGTGTGAGGTTATTGATTTTAGTAAACTTTTTAAGTCCACAGCGATATTTAAGTGTGTCATATAATTTTGTGTCATATAATTTTAACTAGTTAAAATGTTACATTTTAACTAGTTAACGTAACATCAGCAGTAAACCAGTTTGAAGTCTTAAGTTTCTTCAAAAGTGGCTATTTGTGTAGCAACCATAATTACAATATAGAAATTGTTTTTTCATGTGTAATACCATTTACTTTGTATTATTCAGGCTAGCATATGTTACCATGCTGGCCTGGTGTTCTTGGAGCCCCCTGGTGGTGTGTGGGACTCAAGCAGCTGCTTTGCTTTGGGCCGGCCCTGGTGATTTTATGTACATTGATATGGATCTGGATCCATTTGGGAAACAATTAGCTTTCAATTCGAGCCGTTAGTCTTCAGTCCCCACTGTCTCCATGTAAATTAGTTTTTCTGTGCAATTCTTTCAAGATGAGATGAGAATTAAATTAGATGTTTTTTGGGGGGGTTGCAGTTCGAATCAGAATCAGTGCTGCTTGTATCATTGGTTGGTTGGTGTCGAGTTTTCTTCTGTTGATAGACAATTCCTACCTTCCTTTGATGCTTTTCTGTGTGTCATCTTGGTTTCCTCTTTACAGCTTTGAAGTGTTTTCTACAGGAAGCCTCACACTGTTTACTCTGCTGAAGCATTCCTTCCTGCAGCCCCACCCCCAAACACACACACACACACACACACACACACACACACACACACACACGCACACACACACACACACACACACAGACATACACACACACACACACAC